GCAAGTTTGCCGAAGTTAGACATGTACCCGATAAAACGATTTGACGGTTAACAAACAGACAGTAAAAGATGGTTGCCGCTGACATGGCGAATGCCTGTCATGCGAAAAGCAAACCTGAAACTCTTGTAAAATCCCCATCACCCCGAAGTTCTTCATCATCGAGCGACTTGGATATCGCCCTTAGATCCACTTGGCGTCTACGCTGTCTTCAGGTAGTTAGAGATTCTAGACGAAGCATTAAAGTCTCCGACGTAAAAAATAAATTGGATTTTCCGAATTGCTATTGAATTAATTACCACGGAATCTGCTATTTTGAGCTTTCTTTGGCGATCAAGCCAACATTTTACCTTTGTGCCTTGCATCAGATACAACCGTTTCAGGTAGACATGGAATTAACTTATGGAACCAGTCAGAAAAGCTCAGAAACTTAGTTAATACGCGATGAAGCAGTACGTGCTTCTTCTCAAAGAAGTATCCTTCTAGTCTTAGAAATAAGAGGCCAATGACTTGATTCAGTACCTTCTTCCTAGAAAGTAAATCCATGTACGGAGTAAAACGAGGCGATCTGAACTAACTAGAGATCATTATTAAAAACTGCCCTAAATATTCCGCCATCACAAGCACGTCTATGTTTTGTGATCGAGACACGTCAAAAGAGAGGAACAGAAAAACAGACAAAGATAAAGCTTTAACTTCCATGAAGAAGTACGTACGCTTGGACACTTCAATTAACCTCCCGGGGCACTGGTCGGTAATCAAGCCTTAATGGGTTACAAGATATTTGCTATACATTCTTCTACGTACTAGGTTGATCCAAGTCATCACTACGCCGCAGTGTCGTGAACAGCTACCTAATGAACAGTATTAGTTAATTAGGAAAACGATTTGTAGAGAATGATAATAATTAATAATTGGGATAAGATATGAAGAATAGATTCACCCAAATTAGCTGACTTAACGTAACACGTAAGACGTAACAACAACTTCCGTCCTAACAGAATCAGAACAAGTCTACACGGCACAAAAGACAATAGTGGGTAAATCATTTCGTAACTGCCAGCCTCGATAGTGTCTCCAATCAATATCATCTCTGATTTCAAGCAAACCCTTAGCCAACTCTCCTATCTGGAAAGTGTTTGGAGTGACCTTTCGGTATTGGCTCCGAGACTCCCAAGAAGAAAACACTGTGCGTAGATACTGGCTAAGCTACCTAATATTAGGATCGCCCTAACGTCTTAGACAGTATTTTCCTAACTAAAAAAAAATAGGGAGCTGTTTTTTACGAGCCACACGAAACGCAGCGTACGAAATGGACGACGATGTGTGGCTACCGCTAGATAGTCCCATAAAACAGGCCATGAATGGTTCGTCGTTTCTACAATCGCTGGATAATAAAGTAGGATCGCAGTGTAATAATAAGCACGATTCCTCCATTCTACAATGTACGCTTTTGATGCCTCCACCGCCAATTTTAATCGAATAACCATGTTCAATGCTACATACATGTGCATTTGTAGAAAATAATAAAAAAAAATACAAGTGGCTGTTATTCAGTATTTAACTTTGCTTTCACAACAAATCCATGTTTTACATTTTTTCGATGTAATGATAAAAACTACTTTCTCAAGAATTTAATAAATAGGCCTGTGATAGTGCTTGCTATATAGAAGCATTTTAAAATTCGTCCTTGAGGACAGCTAGGATATTCCCGTGACAATCGAAGCCGAAGTAACCTATCTGAGACACATCGATTTCTCAAGTCCAAACAGACCTTTTAAGCCTATGTCTCTGTAATACGCTTTGGGGCCCTTCCTGGAAACCACTCATAGTAGTCGGCCATCAGAATGCATTCTCATACAACAAAAAAGCGGTGTTTACTTTGCTTGCTTTTTCTCTTTTCTTTTAAACCGTTCTTCTATGAAAGATATTGTTACTTCACCTTTTCGAGAAAGTGTAGGATGTACCATAGATGACCGTGAGGCTTTTAAGAAAACCTTTACTTATTTTATTACCGTTATACTGTGCACGCGTTCGAAGCATGTAACCTCTCGAGGCCACCCCTCATTTGTCTCCGCACAGTAATCACTTTGATATGTTAATTCCTGCAAAAGTTTTGCAGAACGTTGAGCTTCACATTATGTCTTAGGACCGACACTGAAGTGACACGATCTACACAACGACGTCCTAAACACACGTTTATTGACAGATAACAAGTAAAGATTGTTAAGCACTCTCTACAGGACAGGCACCAGTTTTCAATGGTTTCTCGCAAAAATCGCTTCTTTTGTTTATTATTATCTCGTTTATTAGCTATGAGCTGTGAAATGCTGACCCTCGCGCCATTGGCATTAGGATTGCTAGCAAAGTATAGATGATGATATTCCTCTAATGAGAAACCAATGGCACTACCTTTTTACGATTGTTCGACGGTGCTCGCGGGCCATTGTGCAAAAAAGTTTGCGCAGAGTTCTTTCTCAGAGTTCTTGCTTCTCGTCGACGCCATCGGTGCGCTGCCGTCGTACATGGCTCATTCGTCGTTTGATGAGGCCATGTGCTCGTCGAAGCGCATCGAATGACCATCGTGGACAGACACACTCTTTGAATAGTCAGTCATCTTCGTCCACTCTGCTACTCATAAGGACGAGCAAGTTAGAGAAAAAGTTCTGCTGTATGACTGTGAATGATATTATAGGTAATGACCTCTAAAGATCGCAAAGTACAGCAGATTACCGAAGAAAAATGACAAACGTTAAAGTTTATTTAGCGCTGGTTAATAGCATTTAAAAAGTTTCTCGTTTTGAGACCCTTGCTAGTATCAACTTCGGTATATCTCAATGTTACTATCTTAGTTTTTTAATTTTTCTGTTTTATAATTTTTAATACTTTTAACTAGGGTCCCGACTACCATGTAACAATAATAGAGATATATCTATCTTGCTTTATCGGCATTTATATTGTATGCTTAGTGCCCTAAACGAATAAAAATGTCAGCTCATGATATATCGTCGTATTACATTGTTGAGATAAATGAACACGACCCATCAAGACAGAGCCCCGGATAATATCTTAAACTTACCGTGTAAAGAAATAAGTATTCATAAATGAACAAAACATCTGAATTCCATGTACCTTAAGGATACTTTTGAAAATTTAATCTATCGATATCTGGCAGAAACTATATGTATCTAATACCTTACAACAGGTACTGCTTCAAGCAGCAACCGATTTCGTTAACATTAAACACCGCCATCGCGCTATGCGTGCGTCTGCCCTAGCGTATTGTTTTGCGGAGCACTATCAGCCTAGTGCGATTTTTTTTTTACTTTTATGTAAATACGTGCAGCTAATGACATGAATAGTGGAGTAATACATAAGAACCACAACGTTTTGGAAACAGCCGACTTGGTAGAGAGGTGAGAGAAACGGACAAGGCTAGATTAAGGAGAAAAGCAAGAAGGTTGTGGACGAGGAGGAAGACGGGCTAGATGTGGCAGCGGCAGCGGTAGCATCGCCTGGAACGAATCCTTTCTTTAATTATTGGATTCCTTTCGTTGGATTGCCCAGCGTTGCCCTCTTCATATGAGCGAGAGGCCTTTCGTCCCCGTTCTTCTTTGCGCGTTCTGGGTCCCAGTGCCGCATCTCCAAAAGCCAGCCGGTTTACCACGTTTGGCCAGCTACTACTACTACTACTACCCCCTGAACGAGGCGCATGTGCTAGTAAGATTAATCATAAGCCCCCTTTTCCTCATTAGGTCCCATCGAAGAACAGGGCTCTTGAACAGGACGCCTGTCGACACACGCGAGCTCGTCCCGGAACTAACTGTAGATAGCATCACTGCACAGATTAGCATGCATTTCTTATGCGCCTACACGGACTTGGGTCTTCGTCCAGTTATGGCCTCTGGGCGCTGATTCTGGGTAGATATTGGCCGACGCGGCATCGGTAAGAGGCATCTTCTTAGAAGGGTGCTTACTGTGCCTAACCAAAGGTATAACCATAATGTCAATGCACTTTCTTGAATACTTTTAAGCTGAAGACACTGTTGAATTAATGTTGTTACTTGGAATGTAATATGGTCATTAATAACTAACTTGGAATTACGTTGCCTATTTTCCACTGTCCTCATATCGTGGCCTCGGCAATCATGTTGAACAACTATGGACTACCTCAATACGTATAGTTATTTTTGATGCTGAGACCCTCGCTTAGGGCGAAATTGGTTTATTCGGGCTTACCTTTCATTACTACCTGATCGATAATGTGCGCCACTGCTTCCCATTTTTTTTTCCTGCTGTTTCAATGATTCTAGCAATAAGCACCTCCCTGTGGCACGCACTAAGCCAAATTTAGCTTCACTAACAATGTATACAGGTCATACCCGATGCGCAAAGAAGAAATTTTTACAAACTATATATACAAAATATAAATGTTTACTAGATTGCTTTAGATTTAGTCGCTTTCAAGTGAGTATCACACAGTAGCAGATATTCAATTTCGGGGCTGTCGCGGACGGTTTAATGCGCGCATTACATTTGCAAGCTTGCAAATTTACTCTGTTGAATTGTATAGCAAAGTGCAAAGAAATTGTAACGCAAATAGACCAAATAGCTAGCCATGGACAAGTTCACTGCTCGATACAGACTGCCAGATATTTAAATTTTCCTGCGTAATAATGGATAGCAGCTCTATAAACGAAGTCTAGTCTTTTCCAGCAATGTCAACGGCGATATACATATGAGTCACAAAGTTGCTGCGCACATAATCAGGCAGTACAGTAAATCAATCTTGTCGCCTATCGATAAATCAAGCAACTTTATTATATTAACTGGCGAATATATAAAACGTGTAGCACGAGAGCATTCTTTTCATAGCCTAGCTCTAGACTTGACCTTATGCGAAAATTTAGGTCTTTACTTAGGTCTCAAAAACAGAAAGGTCTCTATCTGATCTATAGCCTATTTTAAGAACAACTTGAATTGGCCCAACAACAGTTACAGAATATACCGGAAGAGGCTTTATTGAATGTCACAGACAAGCTATCCAGGTAATAATATCCACACATTACAGTGCTCCGAATCGAACACAATTACCGTTTATCCTCCTTTAAGGCTCTTGTATCCCTATAGAAGTCTCTTAGCAGCTACTGGATATGTAAGAGTTAATGATTTATGAACTTTGCGATACTGTCAATCAATAACAATGTGACAGGAAATTTTGTGCCAAATCGCTTCAATAGTCCCACGTTTATTTATACACATATTTGGACCAGTTTTTCTGTGGTTCTGTGGTCCAAAATTTTCTGTGGTTCACTTAACTCCAAGCAAACGAACCTTTTTCTTGACCTGTTCCAACGCTCTTCTGAAATTGAACAAGAGTTGCTTTAAGGTACGAAGTGTGTAGAGACCCGTTTAAGAAGGCCTGCTAAATAAACAATGCGAATCGTAAACGCTGTGGGAAGACAAAGCCGCATGTATGGAGCCATACCTATTTTGCGTGGAGGAGAGCGCCGCCTGGATCCCACCATCATGCACGATATACTCGGCCAGCTCAGGCCAAGTAGAGGCTACCAGATCCACGATGGGTAGAGTTCTAGCTGCATCAGTTTTACATAGGCTGCTAGCCATCAGAGGTCCGATAACTCTGAAAATAACAAGAACAAAGTGATTAGACCAGTGGCGTCATTGCTATCAGATTTAGCACCCTTCTCTCGAAAGGACACACTTAGCTTGGTAACATAGTCTGCACAGAATGTACAATGAGTAGCCATTGCTATCTCTCATGTCAGATAGTTTGCATTGCGAATACAACCCTTACAAAAGAAAACAAACACATGGTTTAGAATTCAACTAAGCTGTAATGCTCTACATCTCTAAACGTTACGGTGTAACACAATTGAATTCTACTTGCAACATATGTTGTTCTATATGCGCAGTCATTCGCTGGTACGATTTATCTTTCGTTTCCTTCTACCAGACCTGTCGGCGGTCACAACTACGAGCATGCGATCTATGGCCTGCAGATATGTTTCGTTTTCGCAAATAGGAAATACGGCTGTCGTTATTTAACTTGACTCTTTTCAGACTTATAGCCTTTAATAATTTTGAGGTAATATTTTTTCAGAGATAACATCAGGCGAATCCAATGGAACTGAAACCTAATCCGCCGTGAATTGTGTCATAGACAGAGTACCTTACTTACAGTGATTTCGACTCGCTCGCTGAAGCGCCGACGAAGTGTAAGCATCAGTTTTTCTTTTGGAAAACCGGTCATTTATAGATTCCTTCAGTGAGGTGGCGGATACCAAATTATTCGAGATCAACGAGCCTCGACAAACGGGTAACTAGACAGACAATTGGAAGAGGGAAGCTTGTATTGTTTGGTTCGTTATGAAGGGTAGACTCGGAATATCAAGTTATACCCATCGGCAAGGTGGATGTCACTCGATATTCTAATGTATTGATTGGGGAAATATTGTAAGAACCAGTAACATTTAAATAGTTTCTTTCTGTTGCCTCACTAACAACTATCGAACTCATAAGGTTTCGTTCTACGAAATTTTCTACAACGTTTCAAGAACTTCCATTCTATTTCCGCATATTTTCGAAGAAGCTGCAATCCTCAAACAAGCTCGTTTTCATTGCTAAATCAGATTTGAAAAAAAAAATGTTTAAAAAAAGGCTGCCTTTCTTGTCTTGAATTAAGACACAAAATTGTTCAAGTGAAGTGACTATCCGAAGGCGGGTGCCTCAGTCTGAATACGACAGCGGGACATCACACTAACCAGCATTCGAATATGCGTGACCACGGCCGAAAATCCATAAATGCGTTCTAAGCAGCGGTTAGGCAAAGGTAAGGTCTAAACTGTTGCACACTCCTAAGAGGGATACAAAAAAAAAAAGTAAGATTCCTACCGAACCATATCTATGCATTGCGTGTTATCGAACGAAATCACGAGTGCTGGTGAAATCGTAGAGTACAACATTTCTTACATGCAGATCATAGAAAATTTTAGGTTATATAAGCGACAAATAGTACGTAATTATATCACATACGATGCACAAGTATTCAAGTGATGAGCGTTTTATCCCATATATTTCTCATTAGACGTATCCTTCTCGAAATCATATCTTCACATAAAAAAAAAAGTTTATATCTAGTGATTATGATTTTATCAATGATTTAACAAGTCCTTTTCTGCAGTTAACACTTCAGCCACCAAATGAGGAACAGGCAATCGTGAATGGGTCAAAAAACGCTGAAGAAAAATGCTTTTCCTAGTAGCTTTTTTTTTCTGGAGCGCTACTCAATTTTGTCGCTTCCTTCGTGCAATAGCAACTGCCCCTATCAGCAACTGTAGAATCGCTCAAGCGGAAACGTGTCATTTTCCTTTGAGATCCGCCATGATTTTTATTCTATACCTAATATAGTAAGCACATCCATTGGTGACCACTTCATGTAAAAACCTCTTCTGCTTTTTCGTTTTGAGGATATTTTTCTAGGAAGGGCATGGAAAGCTGGTCTTCATGAGACGTATTACTTCTTTTTCAAAAACGATTAAACCTCTCTAAAGATACTCGAAGCATTTCTTATCCGTTATGTTTTCCAGACTTGACTCCTTTTACTTCCAGCTTTCTCTTCACTTGTTTACTCTAACACAAGTTAAGCCAGTGTAAAAAAATAAAATAAAAAAAAATTCGCCGTGGCTCATGAAAAACGCATTTATATTAATAGATGCTATCTGAACAGTATTTAGCTTAGTTCTACCATGCGATCTAAAGGGTTTTAGTAGGAAGTGTTTGACCAGGCTGGTTGATCTATTATTCACGAATGCCGTTTGTTCGATATGATCTATGGTGTCGTTACGTAACTACTATAATCTGACTGAAATGGTTGGTCAACGCAATTAAAATAAGACATAAAAATCCCACAAATATGTGAACAGATTTAAAAATTCAACAAATTTGCGGTTGAGGCGCTAAAAAGGGCGACAGAAGAAACATACCGCCAAATTTTCATGAAGCAAATTTAAGGAACCTAACCCAAGTTTATTTCGCTCATATTAATATATAAATAAATCTTTCTCAGAGAGTCCGATTAAGAATAAGAAAATGTTCAGGAGATCAGTAATAAAGCAAAAGCAAAGGACAAAGGTCCTACCGAAAAACACGAACAGTTCATTTACCCCTAACTCATGAACGAGAGCAGTTTCTTGCTACCTTTCAGACAACAGCAGTCTACAGCATTCTCGTTTCCAAGCCACTACGCATTGCGCTATTTGTGCTCTCCTACCCAAAAGCGGACAACCAGTCCTTGGACCAGCCAACTGTTAAGCAAACGCTTTCGCCCGAATAGAACAATGACTCCAAAACTCAGAAAATCATCAAAGCAGTACTCGGGTTCTTCATATGTTCGTAAAATGCGACAGCGAACGTGGGTCTGGGAGGTCTGTAGAATTCGCCTTGGCGTTTCTATGTCGAGCAGCAAACGGATTGCTATTCTTCGAACAGCTAACGTGGCTCTTTTAAGAAGGGGTATTTTCTAACCATCTTTTTCTGTGGATCTTCCTCGTTTCCAGACCCAGAAACGTAACGATATCGCTAGGCACTAGAACTAGCTTGTTTCGTTGGCTCGCTGTTCAGTTTTGATTGCCAACTCGACGGCAGCGGTAATAGTAATGGAAGTAGTAGACAACTGAAAATCCACGTTAGTAATTGTCGATGAAAATTGCTTTCTACGAAGACACTGTTCTTACGGACGGATAAAGACTGGATGAAAGCTCTGGCTGGATGAGAAAGATATGGCTAAATTGGAGAGAGAAAGAAATTACAAAATGCTCGGTCGAAGCACGAAAAAGGACGCTGCCGACCTTTCGGATAAATGAATGAATAGGTTAGCAGTTGGTCGGTTGAATGAGTGCACAAGTACTCTTTTCTACGTATAATGAATAACAAGGAAAGAAATGAATATCGGACGCGAGTTAAAATGAAAAATAAAGGGAGAAGACTATACCGGTGACATCTCATAGGCTTGGCTTAACAAAAAATCTGACTAAAGGAAGGAGGTAGAGACGTATAGAAAAATCGAGTTCAAGAAGGAAGAACGCTTTCGCGCTTTTAAGCAAAATTCGACTATTAGACTTTAAATATGCTCCGGTGAATAAAATCGAAAGAAAATTTTCATGAATATAGTATAGAAATTATTATTGAGATATGAGTGGATTTTTATATAAAAACTTCGCGATAAATTGTGTAAAAATCGAGCAGAGGTTACTGATTTAATTTTTTGGTAAAACGTAAGCGAGCAGCTTGCACGCCGACGAAAATACGCCCTAACGGGCCCGAGTACATCGTCCCCTAAGACTCTGCAACGATGAGATTTACTGTTTAGTCTACCACAACGCCTGTATCGTACTAGTTTACATAACAATTATTGTTGATCTACAAGTGATATGCACAAAAGCAATATTTGTAACATGAAATATCTTCCACTTTAAAAATGTAACAGCTTCTATTTAATACATTATGGTAGTGATTTGGGATTTCTTCCTCTATTCTGTTTTCGGCAATTAACTAAACCCACCAGCACGAACTGGCGTGACCAGCCCACCTGATGACAATAAGCTCTGATCACGGACTTGCGCACTCGTAAACCCCATCTGTAGACAAGGTATACCAGCATCATACGTTTGTCACGGAGGTTGTCCAGACCCCACGAAGCTTTCGATGCGGTGAGAAGTCTAAACCAAGCAATGTAATATGGGCTGAAGTTTTACGAGCGTCTATTTAAAGTTACTTGGCCGATCCCCGGCCTTGAGTGCCTCACAGTTTCCGACTCTGTAGTTCCTTTAGACACCTTTATGGAAGCCATGGGATGCGCGCGCTCTGGCTCAGAACTGCAAAACCTTCATAGGTAGTCCTGCGGCTTTGTTTAAATCACCAGCTTTTAGTGGCTCATATAATAGTAATGACTGTAGAGAATTTGGCACGAAACGCCGGATGTACTTCTAGTTTATAAATATATATTGTATTGGGATATATGAACATATAGCCAATCCGTTGCCGTAAACGTTAACACCCTTGTGCATGTGCATGTGGATATTTACATGAATATTTAACGTGTAACATAATCAAGATTTGAATTTGTTTGCTAATTATTGCCTGCTCCTGCTGTCACCCCTAACGCCAATTGTGCTGTCAGATCACAGAATTGATGCGACGATTCCAGTATACTACAGATAATCTGATACTACCTGATGTGGTTTTAAATTAATCCCAATTCGAAGTTCGTATTTATATATATATATATATATATGCGCTTTGTTTCTAATCTAACAATGAACTACCTGTTGTCAATGCAATACCAGGAAAGCTGTGGGACATCTATATCGCAGGAAAACAGCAACGCATAGAAACATTTAGATCTGAATCAAACACAACATCACTAACATATGGAACAATTCGCTTGGAAACTGCTTTACTACTTTTAAATTATTAATCATCCGTTTTCGTGTTTAATTCATAGCGCGTCTTACGATCCCCCCCATTTAATATATGGGTTTGCTATTGGAGGATCACGTTTGCACCCGTACGCAGTGCGATTATACATGCAGCGAAGTGCATTTATTTACGTTAGTTCCTGCAGATTCAGCAAATCTCTATGATCCTAATGAATGATTACAGCTGAGGAAAACTTTTCACTAATATCATATGTAGCTTCGTTCCCATAATATATATATAACGTATAATTGGGAACAATCAGTAATGTACGACAAAGTTAGTAAACTGTGTCTACCCTGCCTTGGTATGTTATATGTGATAACTGGATTACATGACCCTTCAATTGGCGCGAGGTCTGATTTATTTTTGTTGGTGTTTCCCATTCAGACTAACCAGTATAAACAGAAGTTATGAATATAGTTGGTGTATGAAGTTCATATGCTATTGCGACTCGCTTGTAAGCCAGATAAAATAAATACCTTTAACGTTACGTCCCGCTCCATCCGCAAATGCTCTTTCTTTATTAGATGATCCAACTTGGCTCTCACATTAGCTCTTTCCTTAACTGATCTGGCACGCAGAGTTCAGATACAAGAATCCAGAGGTCTCGCTTACGTGTGTTATATTCTGTCAATGCTTCACTTCAGACCAGCGAAGCTTGCTGCAGTTTCCTTTCAACTTACTAACCTATTTCGACAACTGCAATTTAAGTCCAGCGGTGCTGGTCAGCGCTACAACGTGATAATCCCATGAACGCCCTAGTACAGGCGTCCATATCCAACGTCCAACAAGTCGCAGTCTACCTCCCAAGATGTCAACTAACTGATGATGCATCTATTATTTATGAGCCACCCCAGCAGCCAACGACCCTTTTTGCTGCAGGAGACTGCAGTTCTACCTTTTTGTCGTCCATCCCCCTATAGCCTTATCATGCTTGCCCCACCACCATATCTCGAGAACCTTCTTTGGAAGATGTCCCATTAGTTCGTTCCATCTTCATCCTTCTGGCGTGTCTCGGATAGCCGCCGCATTTGCTACTAGTCACTCAACCACTCACCGTGTCTGATCACTTGTGCAATGAACTCCGCATGGCAACAAGCAGGCTTCAAGTAGGTCGCGGAACTTGGGCAACTGAATGGCGCCGCAAACGGAGGCCAGTTTCGTCAATAACGATAGGTGCACGCTGTGAAAGAAGCAACGAGCGTAAACAGCTAATAGTCGAATTCGGTTATAAGTCTATATAAAGATGTACAAATGCAATTGTCGCTGATTAAAGAAGATGACGTATAAAAGAAAATGTTGTGTATACGAAGTACGGGTATATCTAACATTGACTCATATATATACATTTTTATAGTAGACACGTGGGCCATATTTAATGTTTCATGCGCCGCCCATGCACATTTGAGTCATAAAAAACGAAAACAGAGCATCTTCACTGACGGGTATACAGATACTATAAAAGAGCGTAGAGACTAACATGGCGTCGAAAGCGAAGGATGAAATAGTATTTTATAGAAAGTAAAGCATTGGAGCCTTTGTAAAGGCCCGCAAGGCTTGTGTCTCAACAAGTAACGACAACGAATTTATTGTAATAGTAATAATAGTACTTAGTTTTTAGTAGTAGTACCTCGTATAATATTTTAATTATATAATAAATAATAATAATTAGCAGAATGGTTTATATGCTTATAATAGGGTATAGCCCTACCGCCCTGCTTTGACTCTGTGCATATTCGAGGACTTCTTGTACTGTCATGGCTTACACCCGGTGAATTGTCGGCTTTATGTAGGCAATAACGCGCCTGAGCACATTGTCGATCCAAGGAGGCCCGTAAGAGCCCCACCTTTTTCATTACATGAGCTTTATTACTTTTGAAGAACACTGGAACTCAAGTAAATAGTTGTTTGATGGCTACCTTTGATGCAAGTCACCATCGATGTCCACATAGGGCCTACCTGTATCCATACTACGTCGAACGCCATGGTCCTAATTGGGGCGCTGGCATGAACAGTTTATTCTCTTTGACATTATCTCACCAGACGGAGTTAAAATTAAGCCCCGCTAAAGTTCTTGTACTTGATACGTCCACTAAAACCGGGTAGCTCTTCTGGGCCATGATGCCAGGTAACCTTCACTAATAATTGGGCCTGAGTGCATTATACTTTAGGCACGCTAGGAGGACATGAGAATGAATGAATTAAGTATGCTTACAAATGGTTGGAGGAGTAACCTGTCGGGTTCACTAAGAAAGTGGAAGCATATTGCAGATGTTAGAGCTTACAATTGGTGTATTCAACACTGTTACTGCTTGACAAAAATACTTCAAGTGACGCCACGGGGAATACGTATATATATATATATATATATATATATATATAGTATAGCTAACCAAGCAGGCGTAGGCAAACCTTGAGCTGGGGGCCAGCGGTTCGAAATAATACCTAGAGGCAGTACCAAACCTAAAAACACAAAACATTTATTTAGGGTCACTGCAACTTCGTTTCTAGCTGCTTCCGATGTGCACATGTGCGGCCTTCACATTTCATTTATCCCAGCTATTAGTGACCGTAGTTTCCATTGCAATCAAAGGCTTCTCTATAATTTGAGCACTACTATGGCATACCCTATAGGTAAGTTCAGAACGAATCACTGCTATAGAGTTCGTCATATTCGACAATACATACAAAACAAACTATTCCGTGCAGCTATCCATACAGTCATCGCCGTCTTTACTAGCATGCCCATCAGAAGAAATTATAACTAATGAATTTGCGTCATCTAAAACAACTTCTATATTCTCCGCCTATCACTTACTATATAAGCCTAAGGGTGATCCACTATTGTTACTGAACGTCCCGTCTACATTAACAAGAACTTTTACGTCGCCTGTTTATTCTGTAGACGAAATGGAAGAGACGGGGGCTTCCGTTGTTGTTGCCAATCGACTGCGATGACGACAAACACAAGACAGTAACCGAAAAACAATAGCACCAAAGACTTCAGTTCACAAACCTTCAGCTATCACACCAGCTCTATCCTTTTCGCGTAAGGACCATTGCCTCCGGTGCCAGCATTATATAAACAGCTGCACAGAGTGACCGATTGCCAGTGACGTTATCGATGGATATGGCCGTATCCGTTCCGCCTTTACTTCCTAGAGTTTCCGCCTTTCATATACTACTTGAGGCAGGGGGCGCTGCGTGGAGTATTCGATAAGTGACGGGTTGGCTACTGCCACAAAAAAAATGGGACTACGCGTCAACAACCTGGGAGTAGTCGCAAAAGTAAGAGAATGTGTACACGGGGAACTAGGATGCTTCTGTCCATGGTGTTGGTATTAGAACTAGCACTACTGTTGCCGCTGCGGCTGTTACGACTCTCGATGAAAGGCGATGACACTCAAGTGAATTGAAGATCTGTTTCCCAGACAATATGGAATAGTACACACGCGAGTAAAGACTTGCAATATTAAAGAGGTTATAAACATATTAACTGGTACATAGCTGTTTTTCATATAACAGCTTTAGGAACAAATTACTATATCGTGTACAATATTTGCTTTCACTCTCTACCATCTTTTCCCATCTCCTAACCAAGTTATTTATTCCACCCAAAACTTTTAAAACCTGAAGATGGAGAGCTCATCTTGTCAGTGTTTGAGATTCGCCTTATTGCCAAACGTGTCGTCAGTGAAGAGGGTGATAATGCTTTACTACGAGGCTTGAAGTGTCCGGTTGTTTTTTATATAAAATAAATAGATTTAAGCTCTTGCAAAGTGACTCTGGCGACCTTTACCATGCGTAATCCGACACTGCCGCGCTTTGACTGGGTCTTCCCTGTTGGAACTAAATGTGAGTGGGCTATATACAGATCTCTATTGACCGTCTCATTTCTTTAAGCATTTTTCACCCTAACCAAATGCAAATCGTGTTTTTTTATAATGGTTTAGCTCAGATTTATACGTATAACCCAAAGCTATTAATTTTTTTCTTTGTATAATCTGACTCGCAATAACTGTGAATAAACCTTACATGTTGTGGGGTGCTCAGTTATACGTTAAGAGACAATGAAGAACCGCATTTCGATCTACCTTTCACTCAATTTTTAAAGCACTTAGGCTCCCAATTTTTTTTTTTTGAAGTCCCATAGATTTAAGATGATCATGTGAGCACAGCTCATCTTCTCAGCTCGTCCACGAATTCCTTGTTGACCTTCTTACTTATATTGTTTTCATGGGCCTCAGACCTCATAGATCGCGGTGGGATACAATCTCCGTACATGGGATGTCATTATATTAAACTTTGAAGACTATCATCAGGCTGTTCTTTTAAAAATGTAGTTTACACTGTACATAATACGTCTATCTCCTTGGCACTTCGTTACTTCGGCAAAGGACGATATAAGAACACTCTCTACATGCCATTCACTACATACTGATCTCAGCGGGCTATGAAGGAGAAATGGCGCTTCTGAATGGTAAGATGGTGAAACATATAAAAAAGGAATTTGGCAAGAATGCTATTATTTATATGCAAACCAAATATTTATAGCATACCTGTATACCTAAATATACATTTGTGGAGTTACAGCTTGAGGCCTCCACTGATGGATACTGTCTGGTATTGCTGTGTATATAAAGCTATATTGGAATTATAAGACATTTAACATCTTTGCAGCTTTTTGTCTAGTTCTATTCAGAATAAATGCTTTGGATGCCGTATTTGTCTAGAGGAGAAAGCAATTATAACTTGTTCGGGTTCGTTAGCCTTAGATGGAAAGTTTTCAATGAGCATTTTATGCAGACAAAATTTAATAGGCAATAATAATGTGAATATATAAAACGTACGTATTGTCTGCATTTGTTACGTGTTGAGCAATTTGATACCGATGAGCGTGTGCTTTATTCATCATTACCAGTTACATAGAACTAGACTTTTATTAGGCAACGGAACTCTATAAGCGGAAAGTGTATTGAATCCGATCAGCGCTATTAATCTGTGCTAAAAACCTGCACCGATAGAAAAACTACTAACTTGGTTATTTGCGTTGATGAAGAAAGAGAATCGGAGCACTTCTTGAGGATTGCAAGAAGAACATCAATGACGGCAGTTCGGTCGATGTCCAATGACCACACCGTGTCTAACATAATCTTTGTCAGCTTCGGTGATTCCTGTTTTCGATGAACGTTATGGAACTTCATTAGATTGAGAATTGAATTTAAGCCAATCAATGACCACGCCGACTGGTTTAGCCTTTTCGAGCGTTTTGCGCTCCATAATTGAAAACGCGTCAATTAGGTAATTTTATTTGAAAATATAAATCTTTTCCACCTCTTAAGGAAAGATGTAAGCACAGTTAGTGACATGCACGTAGTGTTTTCGTGTTAGTTAGTGACCTCAATTTTCGTTCTGAAATAAATAATTGTTTTAGAAAAGCATATTGGAACGATCGAATTATAGCGAAAGTTTAACTGTTTTAATTACAAGGCGTAAATATATAATAATAAATAAAACTAATTTATCTTAGATAAGTTGTAACGTTTTGGCGTGTGCGTAAGGAAATGTGAAACAACGTGCACGACTGTACCATAGCAGTTTGCTGAATGAACAGTGAGATAGGTGTGGCCTGTGGGAATATTTTGCAGTAGTATCCCACAATCTCTGAAAATCGTCGTCCGATGAACGCGTCATTATCCCTAAACAATTGAGCCAGGCCAAGTAGAAATCGATGCCCTTGCGCTCTCATGCATTCGACGAGCATCCGCGGAAGGACCACTTTTCCTTCGCGCAATAGTGATTTTGGATAGACGAACGTCTCGACCAAACGTGGCAACGGGCAATCTGCTAGACCCTATAGCGTGAGTTCGTTAGCCAAAACAAATTATAGACGCGCTGATTAAGACACCAGGCCTATATAAAACGCACCTTTCAGCTAATATTTTTGTCAACCTGTCAGCTGTTACTAGTAAAGTCAAACATAAGGCTTTTGCTAACTTTTGAAGCTATTTACAGAAGGAGCGCAATAAAGCAACTTCTCGAATAAAGTATGCTACATATGATATATTGCCAAAAAATAGTTGCTATGTCAATGCGCGTAAAAATCCAGCGAAGATCAGTAAAGGTTCGCCGAATCGTATTATGTGTCGTTTAATTATCGCACCAGGTGTATCGTTCACTAAAGGCTTCAATCCACAGGTGGACAGTACACGAACCTACAATAAACTTCGTTACCTTTGTATAGAGAAGGTCAGGGGCATCGCTAAAGAGCAACGCAACTACCTGGTACAAGTGCGCCACCTGACCATTTGGGAGGTCGAGTACAGCCTTTGCATCGAAGTGAACCGCTCTTAGCAAAGCGCGGACCGTTTTGCGAAAGGCTGCAGCTTCGGCTATGGAACATGATTGCATTAGTTCTTGGTGCCGACGGCTCCAATAGCATAAAAGCTGCTGATAACAGGACATAAAATCTGCTGTTGGAGCTGGATCAACTTGCAGGAGCTCACTCTGAAATCAAATGAAAAAGAATAACGTTATTTTCTCTAAAAGTTTCCACTGACATATATACAATTTCGTCCACTAATGTATGACAACTTCTGCCAACTTCCTTTTACATAGCGGACTGTGCGCTAACTACGTTGCATAGAAAAGATCAAACACCTTCGACTTTTTTGGTTCCACTTGTGTATTTCTGAAGATGTCGAATTTTTCAAAATCCATCAATTTTTGCCTATCACAATCTTGGTGTTTATATAAATATTCAAACATCTTAAGCAGTTATTGTCTCTTTCTGAGCTTCAGTACGGAGTAACTTGCAAGAATATACTAGCATTACGAACCTTAATTTTTTTGAGAACCAAACGGGTCACGAGGTCCATTTCAACTAAAGGCGATCGAACATACATAATTAGCTTTAAAAGAAGGCCTGGTCCTTCCGTTTCCTGCCAGACCTTGATGAACGTCTCTCCATCAGATTTTTTCACAATCAAAGCCAATGTTCTTACTACAAATACGGGCTGGCGATCCACGTGACGAATTACGTCCTGTATGAAAGATGCCCTCGTCAACGTGCCTGAGAGAGGATGTCTCCTTGTGATTTAAAATTAGCAATAAATATAAATATACGATAAGCATGTATTCATTTGAAGAAATAACAATTTTCTTGGTCAAAACTAAAGTTTAGTGCCTATAGCCATTAGAAGAGGTCGATTATCTACTGTCTAATATGGGTTACTTTTGCAGCTTGATTGTTACTATTATGGCTTGGCTATAAACCAATGAGGGCTTACAATACTGGCCATGTCGCTTAACGTCGTTAGTTATTGCTACAGACTACCTTTTTCTACTAGAAAACCTTGTGAAACAAAAAGAAAAATCAGTGACACGCACTGTATATAAATTATTTTAATTGTAATAAATAAACTTCCACTTTGTTCCATTAACCAACCATTTAACGAGACCTATGAGAATTTCGGCACATAGGTCGGCTGCGCAATTGAGCTCATAATTCGACGAGTACTTCTCCATCTGCGATAAACTGGTCATGGCCAAAGGAAGCGCTAATGATATCGTCGATGAAACAAAGGCGTCCTGACTCAGTCGAGCCTTGGGGTTGTCATCACTTTCGCTGAAAGTACAATTAAACTGCAAATTCGCTGCACTTAAACCGGCCACATAAATTCACTCACGAGCACAAGTTTTCTACTCTTTTTTTTTACTTTTACTGAACTTATTTTTTTGCTATCATATAATCAGTCACATGTGCACAAGTACCGCTCATTATAAATGTTACCTGCGGTATGTGTAAGAGTTGGCAATAACATAATGCAATAGTAATCTCACAAATTGTGCTTATAGAAGCGATCGATCATCGAAGAGCAGGTGGTCTGAATAGATACTCGAAGAGAAGGCGAGCACTTATTATAGATCGTCTGGATTTCTGAATCTGAAAAAATGCATTTCGATTTAAGTGTAAATGCCATTTGTTGATAAATGGATTCAACTAAATGAATAGACTTTAGTGGTACTATTAGATAGACGCGTAGACTGGAGTGCGCTAACGTAACAATTACACATTAGATAATAAGCTTTTCCATTATTTGAGAAAAATAAATCAATTTATAATAACAAGGTTTCATGCCAACGATGTCACTGGCCTTGCGATGACCATGACACATAAAAAAAAACCTATTGGATCTAATCGATGAACGTCGTTTTTGAACGCGCTGATATTCGATATCAGTTATCATCTGTAAAGGGATTCAGCATAGCTAGACACGCACAAAGTATAAGCCCATTATTAAATGCGTCTGCAGTAGCTAAGTCTTCCAGCACTTCGAGAAGAGGTGGTACAACTTCGGAACAATGAACTTTTGTAGATTCCTGGTGTAGACGTTGCACGGCAAAGCTAAGTATTGGCGCAAGGTCAACAGGTTGCTGCAGTAGGTTAAACAATAGTTGAAAAGACGACAAACAAGAGACCAATAGGCAAACACGAGCTGATGTTAGTGGTAAATCCGCCGGGGGCACTACGCGCTCTTGAAAACGTTTCAGCTGTACAAAGCAAATAAAAATATTGGAATAACTGGTTTTATTTTACGTATTTGGTTTATGTCCTGGCAGACAGAAACAAGATTGAAAATGACAGAGTCCAAAATTAAGTAGTAAAAAGATTGTTACCTCAATTCGACAAATTTTGACACAATTAAAAGGTCCACCCCTTAGATAAGGCTGTTCAGACTTGACCTTGGCATTCAAACGCGTCAGCTAATTACTATCGCAAGATGTTACTTGCATATATGTTGGTTATATGTCTTACTGTAATCATAAATCGGCAGGAGTGAAAGCGTCCGGAAAGTTATGAGGACGATACCTAAAAATAACGTATCAAAGTGGCAGTATTCTTGTGATTTAAGTGCCTCCCGTATGTAGCCAATATTAGCAAATATTACGATTATGACCTTGAAAAGTAACAGAACTTACGTACAATGTCATTGAGATTATGGTTTTTGCTGCTGCCATCGGTGCTATAACGCGCTAAAACTAGCATCGTCAGAGTGAAGTTTATCACGCCAGAACGGGAGAACGCGAGTACTCTAGCACGAGATAACTTTAAGTACACCCGACCGATGATTTGTCGAAGCGGATTACCTTCTGGAGTGGCACCTCGAAGAGCCCCAGCGCACAAAGACAGGCACTCATAGAACACATTGCTTTGTCTCCAAACAGATCGAAATAATGCTTAGACAGTGTCAAACACTAGTTAATAAAGGGACCCACTTATTTGCATGGCTAATCGCAGATTCAATTGATTAGAGAAACAAAAGATTCTTTAACCTAATGATTACTTAAACAAAATTTAATCACTAATTGTTATAAAAAGAACATATTGTTTCCGAATTTGTTTCATCTGGTCACTTTATGCTGCCTAGTTAAATGTAACTTTAACGTCTACCGGTTTCAAAATTGGACGTATAACACATATAGGTAACTATGTAAACCTACTTCATATCGGATGAACATATATGGTCGCACAGATTCATTAGAGACCTCGCCGAGATATCATTTTCTATGAATTTTTCCATGGTTCCTGGCTTCGAAGCAATGGGCCTATCGTAAGATTCGTCCATATTGGCTAAAAAGTGATCTTAAGTAGCAAACACAGGATATTGATTCTGTTATAAAAGCTTTTTCTCTTGCGCAACCCATAACATTTTTGAATGATATGTTCGTGTTTTAGTATAGGATATAATAATCTGCTATGTTCGGTTACAGCTGGACGCACATTTGGCTTTGAGAGCTCCGTCATAAGATATTTGCACTTACTGTTTTATTTAATTGAGGGCCTAATGAGAACCCTATATTGTTTAATAAAAATGTAAAAAATCAATAGAAATACTTAAGAAACGTACCTAAAATAGGCATAATAATTTCAGTCGCATTTTGTGGCCAGAATGTTGATAAGGTCTTAGCAGTTGATACAGCCAAATCCGGGTTTTGAGTAAGTGCAGATAATATCAACAGGCGACAGTATGACGGGTTCGGCGAAAGCTGAAATTGCGTGAAACGTTAATATTTTAGGCATACGTTAGTAACCAAAAAATACTTTTGAAATCCGGGTTTCTCTGTGATAGTTCCCGCTGCAATTATCTGTCATTATACAAGTGAAAACCTATTGAAATACACCTGTTATTCCAGCTAAATGATTCTTTGTCTTGAGATTACTTTAACTTTTGATATCGCAGGTTAAATCTGCTGCCGCCGATAGAAGTAAGTCCATAAAACAATGCTAAATCATCGGTGTCTTTAAAAAACGTTGGTTCACTTTTTTGGAGAAAATGCCATACTGGAACAGAAGTGGGAGAGATGACAGATTCCAACTTAGCGTTTATGCAGATCGCAAACAACTAAAGTATTTTCACACCGGATGTTTCGATGAGTGATTAACCGTTGTCGAGATAACTACTCAGAAACGTTGTCTTCATTAGTTAGCCTTGGTATCTTCGAGAATGTCTTAGCATAAACCGGATTTTTCCCCAACCTTAGACTATACAATTAAGTTTTGATATCAAACTCATCCTGCGCGTTAGAAATGATAAAAAAATTCATCGGTATATATGTAAATGGAGATACGCAAACTTAATTAATTTAAGAGGAGATCCCATTATTATTATTACCGGAACCCGTTCCTGTAGTAAGTGATTAACTATCTCCAGCTGCAAAGTGCTCGGCACTCCGGTCTTGCAGCCCATTGGAAGCGTCCACCATTCCTGATCACACAAGCAAACTATCTCATCTTGAGCTTTTGACAAGTCATCCCACAGGAGAGATGCTCGAAAGCGTGCCACCTCTACGAGTGTCTCCTGCAGACAAGCACAAGACGTTCCACTGAGCTTTTGTATAGAAGAGATCAGGTCCCAGAATAGGAGCCGTCCTAACACATGAGCGTATGAGGACATCACTGAAACAGATCGGCATGGTGCAGATTACTAAACAACTTAACTCACTTACTCTTACAGAGTGAGGAAATATACGTCATCAATATCGCATATTTCTATTACGACCCTAACATTATTCAAAATCAATGTATGTCCTTTCAATAAAATCTTGTTTCGCAGGGACTCGAAAGATTGAGTCACAGACAGAGAAGGAAAAGTTAATATCTAAGCTACGACACATTTATGTTCGAATCCTTTATAAAGGCAAACAACACTCCCTATCGATCGTTATGCTTTGCTATAAAGTCATATGTATTTCAACAGTAAGCACGAACATGACCTAAAAAGAGTGATAAGTAACATGGCTTCACCCAGCTTGTAAACGCCTATCTTCTATCGATTCGAACGTTGTAAACGCTTGAGTTAACTCAGAATATATTAAATATAGTCGCTTGTATCAACTCGTTAACGTCAATACCGGCATTATTGATGAGACGTGCTTCAACAGCAACGCTAATTTTCCATGCTGTTTCCCATAGTTTTAGCAGGAGATGAAAAGACCTCTCATCGACACTGACCACACATTCGGAGCAGCGACCAGAAAACTGAAGGCTACGAGAGAGTTCCACCAGAACTGAAATCAGTTCTTGTTCTTCATAGACGGTTTCTCCTGCATAGAGTGGAATCAATATGAACTTTATCTAGATCCGTAAACGCTTTAAGAGCCGAATTACTTTGAAAAGTGCGCCATGTCTATATAAGGCTGACTAGATGATAAGGCTATAATTATTAAAATATTTGCCTGGCATGTCTTGGATTGTCATCACAAGTGCGCCTGTTGGTCTTAATAATGCTTTTCTAAGTATAGTCAAATATAAATAATCACACACTTGTCACTAGTTCTACACTTCTTTCAACTTGCACAGAAGCGCAGTTATTGTAATAAAATACAAAATGAATGACAGTATCTTTATTTAATTAAACCGCACTGCTTATTTCAGGCCGTACCAATAGTGAGTTCTTGATACAGAAAATCGAGAAAGTAGACCACGTCCTCGGCTGATTTTTCGGCTGCTTGATGGCTATCGTATGAGCCGCCGACGCCAGCAGACAACGTAGTAAATGGCTGAAGGTGATACCTGTGAATGAATGAAATCCATAATTAAAGGGGTAGATATAGATATATATAAGTTCCGTTTACCAAACAAATGTTTAATAAAAATTATTATTATTTCGCTAATGCGATGACTGTATACTCGCTTTTAAACCTATTTGTTCTTTTATCAAAGAATCTTCTATCTCGCTTTAATCTGCTTTGTCAACCTGCGTAGCGAGTTCGTATACTTCTTATGGACTACATATTACGATCGACTACTACAACGTTGTAATACTCTGCGTAAAATTTCGATTATAACAATTTCAATATACAACACCGTTAACATGTTTTTATAGACCGGCCATTACATTTGACAATATTGAATGTATTAAGATGAAGCACTACTTTTCATAAAATTCGGCACCTTGGCTATGGATCCCTGAGGGACACTATTACACATCAAGGTGCCTGATATAACTATCTGCAGTCCAGCAATAAGATTAAAGTCAAAGTATGGAGGCCACGCTCTGCCGTATGCCTACTGATCACTCTTCAACGGAACCGCACTAGCTTTCGTGAAGGCAAAAATTAGCGCAAGAAAAGCTTGAGACATAGTAACAATAATTTCTTTATCTTAATACAAGCCATGCACGCCAGTTCACTAAGGTAATAGCGATGAACATGATCTTTGCTGCCTCAAAAACAGGATTTAGAACAGAAAAAAGGGTTTTGTACTTAGTAACCTATACTGAAAACGATTATCGATGTTAGAGAAGAAATAATGGCTCACAAGAAACATCCCTCTTTTTTTTTTACAAGCTGTAAGACTGGCACCATGCAGAAGTTCATTATAATAAGTTTTAACTTGTTTGAATGCATGTATATAACAGAATTTTAACACATAGCACATTCTCGAACTAAGTTATTCAGTACTGAAATGATTCGAGGCTTGTGATGAAGAACGTAGGGCCATTGCAAAAACAGACCCGGTTTGCTCTATTATCATTTAGAGTTGGACTGAGGGTGAGCAGAGTAGGTACATTAGTTTAAAAACGTATGTTACTATATAATAGAATGATGGCTTTGCTGGCTAATTTTAAAATGAACAAAATCACTTACTTGAGCAAATGAAAAGCTCCGTGTCTTGTAGAGGTATTCTGCAATACTGTCTTTCTCTGATACGAGTATCCAAACAAACGGACGTAATCATGGTCTCGAGGAAAGCAGTGCCTCTGCCTGCAGAACAAGATTATAAACCTCATATGACTATCGCTAATTAGTAAAATTTAATCTCTTTGAAATATATTATCCCAGAACAGCCGGAATATGCTTCACACAGTGATTTCCAGGCCAGATAACCACGATTCCACTCAACGATTGTAATCAATACAAAATGAACATCTGATAGAAACCGTAAGTCGTGGCATTTTATTGATAGCTTTTTTGCATAATATTGCTCTTATGACGAACTCTAGTTATATATTGTATGAGTTGTATCTTCGATACATTTTGTATTTGTTGTAGGGACTAGGGAGGCTGGTGACAATGTAGACATTTTGTGTTAATACCAGGTATCCCAAAGGCCTGAACTAGTACTTCCAATTATCATGTCATATCAGTTACTTGTTCTCTCTAATACCTAGTTTCGAAATTAAAAAAAAAATTATAAAAGGTTCTAACTTTAAAAGCTTTCGATAAAATTAACGCACTACAACGTTTACAACTGTTACTCGGCATAAAAACCTGTCTGTTCTGTACGAGCAAAAATGTGCAAATCTAGTGTCGCTTAAATCGATGCGTAATATATATGTTTTACCATCTGTGTTTTGTCGTATTCCAAAATGACTACGATATCTGGGGCGTACAGGAATCTACTGGATGAGTATTCCAGCGCATTTTAATCCAAAGTTAGCTAAAATACTTCTAAATAAAATACTTAAAACTGAACGCTTTGCTTATTTTTCGGCTTTATATAAGATTAACTTCATGCAAGTTATAGAAGTTGATGCTTGAAAAACTACGGCTTTTAAGTGCTGCTTGCAGTTCGGTTGATATCAATCAGTCAAACTTTTCTCAAAGACTTAAAAAACAAAAGGTTATTTTTTTCATGGGAAGAAGCCAAGGCCGAGGCTAATATTTGATGTGTTTGACAGAAGTATTGGCATGCCATCATGGCAGCTGACACACTGTTTATCAGTGCTTTATGTGAAACGAAAAACTTTGGTATTGATTTTGTTGATTGTCTATTTTGACGCCAGCCTCCCTTATGCTATTTTTTTTTTTTGTTATTTTACCCACTTTTAAAATTTTACAGTGCAATATATAATTTCTACATTTGCTAAATGTTTAGGTTTTGTATTTTATAGAATTCATCCACGAAGACTCTCATATATATACTTTCATACCTGATAACGTCACAATTGATTTTCAATCCTCTTCGCGGTTCTGTAACGCGCAAAGAATACAGCGTGCGTTAAAAGCTTATCAGTTGTTACACGCCTCTATTCTTTCCTAAGTCGTATTTAATAAAGGACATGGTATATGACGACGGGATTATAACGATCATAAGAACCAGATACTTCAAACATAGGACCATCGTTCGCAGAAAACTTTCATAACACTATCTGCAGTAAATTTATAACCTCTTCTTCTTTACACACATATATATATATATATATATATCTTTTTTTTTTAATTTTACATATAAAACAAAAGAGTAAACACTTCAACGTACATTCTTCGCGCAAATTTTAAATGGAAACGTGTTTTGAATAATCCTATAGCTAAGCTTTCACTATCTGAACTATTCTAATGGCGCTTCTAAAAGTAATAAGAATAACTATTAAGGATAATAAAAAATACCATATATTCTACAGTTTGTTGTAGCGTAGGAGGCAGCTGATCCCGGTGAAAATGTCATCGCGCTTTTCGTTGCTGTTGCTTGTAGCTCTTTACCAACCACGGCAAGTATCGCTCGTTCAAATCTATCGCACTTTCGTTTTTCGGCCTTTGCTTTGCCCTACGCACCAATGAGTCCACTTTCACCAAACGCACCAAATTATAATAAATCGACGAGAGAATAAGGAAGCATACTTAAAAAGAGTATTTTTCTTCCGTGGTACCTTGCCCTGCGTTGATATTTCGCTGAGTTTAGTACCACATACATGACACAAAGGCGTTAATCAGCATTTTACAAATGTGTCCACAGTTGCAGTTTTTCCTCTTACACTTAGTATGAAAGAGGTGAGATCGATAACAGATGTTCACCTGTCGTACATATTTTTATTTTACTTATGAATTCCATCTATCAGCTGTTTCCCGCCAATGCATTTTACCAATCGTCTGCTTAAGATGCGATCATTAGAACAGTTACACAAATAAAAAAATACAGTAAAAATATATATAGTCACTTGAAAAATTAGCTAAAAGCAGCTCTAATAAGAGACATGGTGGTAGTTTGGAAATACACCTCTAAATTCTCTTTTCGAGTTTCTCTATATTGAAATTGTGCCTGTAGGTTCTCTTTGTTGGCACAAATGCACTTCTATTATTGTTGTTATTATATTATTCTATTATTATGCTTCTATTAGTAAAAAATAATTATATATTTTATTTATCGCAAATTATTTAATATTATTAAAATAATTTCTAAATATGCTGTGTTTCATAAAATTTCTGCTTGAGTATGATTTCAAATTATCGGCGCAGCTAGCTAGCACATAGTTTGCCTCCAAACGTAAAGCAATACCGAACTTGAATAATTTACAATCAACATTTACTGTCATGTAAGTTATGCTAAATTTCCTCGTCTCAATAGTGTTGTTTAACTATGCCATTTTACTGCCACGCCCAGTATTCTTACTGAGTCAATTTTAAGACTCTCCACTATTGTCCCTCGAATTGAAGAAGGTGCACATTTCAAATTTTCCGCGCGTTGTCAATGACTAGCGCTCGCAGCACCACTTGCCAGCTCGATACGGGTCGCCTAGCCATTTAATCGCAAACAATAATGCATCTAGTCCAGTGATCCCTTCGCAATGGCGGTTTGCGAGCGGGAGCTATGGTTGAGGTGCAGTGGCTGTGGCTGTGTTAGCAGAAGCGGCGAAGCTTAAGCTCGCTGGGTTCTCGTCAGTGTGTGGCTCCGTGTGTGAAAGTATTGTAGGTAGTCAGGTTTTTTTTTATGTAGGCGGTTGTCAGGCCGCACCGCCTCTCAGCCTTAAGCTGCCGACGTCCCTGGACAACCCCTGGGGACAACTCGTTCTCGGATTTGGTTGGGAGCAAGCTTTTTTCTGCATCACCACAAAGGCATCCTTTTTTTGCCCGCTTGCTCGGCGTGCCGCCGCAGTTTTACGGGGCAACAAAAAACGTTACCGTGGCCCCCTCTGCCGTCTTTAATTTTCATGCCTGTTGTGCCACCCAGATGTACTTCGGGCTATCCTCACCGGTGGGAGGTCGATGATCCACTCGCCAAATCGTTTGTTGTTATTACACAACAACAATAATAACAGCAATGTTCCTCTGAATTGATTGATTGTATGAAGAGGAAACGTTACGGAGTCTATTTGTACGTTACGGTGTGATTTGTGTGTTGTGAGCAGTGAAAAATTTTGTCTCGTTCGCGCTGTCGTGATTAAAAGGATCTGAACCGTCTTGCGTCAATATCAACCCCGAAAGGTATGCAGATGCTCATCTCTGGCGTATAGTCAATAGAGATCATTGAGTTGTTTATTAATACAGGTAGTTCAAACAACTAAATAGGGGTAGTAGATACAGAAAAAACTTCTCGAGTTTCTATGTTCATAGAACTGTTATTAGTATTTTCGAAATGACGTAACTGTTTGCGATAGATATACGAGATGCACAAAGTGCCCTTGATGTTTCCATTTTTATAGAAAACAAACGGCATTAATTAGAAGAGTTATGCGGCTTAGGATAGTTGTCGATTCGTTTGGAACTATATAGAGATATAGTACAGAAAGCTAAGAACAAACACGTTAGTCATAAATGCGTTTAAGTAATCAATGAGTAATTATCGTGGACACTCTTATAGATTGTTATGAAAGAAGATTGTGAGATGAGAAACAATAGGAGGCGAAATTGCGACTCAAATATTGCTTCTATGTGGATTAAAATGAAATGAACGCATCTTCATTTATGCGATACACAAAATAAACTGTGGAGCTTGGATTATTCGTGGTTCTGGATGCTAAGTGAATCCTGTGCACTCTATAATGCTGGTTGTCACAATTTGCGTCTTAGTACGCTGTCCTATAGCCATAAACCTTGACAGCTGTGTCACCCATGCCGAAGCAAACACATGGTTTGATGTATAACACGATGTTTTCAATATAACAGTGAAAAACAAAATGAAGTCTTAACTCAGCACCTTAAAAAAAAAGTGAATAATAGTATTATATATCGCCGATAAGATTAACGTCGTTTCGGATGAATAGATTTAACAGCTGCTACAGAGCGAAAACAGCTTCGAACAGCTGGCATATTCTAGAAATAGTTTTAAATGTAATTGGTGTAGGAGGTTGATTTCAGTGTATCACATGATTATTGCATGCTTCATACACGATGTATTTAGTGTTGAAAATATTTATGCTCATTTGTTATATAATGGTCTCAATAATTTCGCAATATACATAATTACTTTGGGTTTGTATCGTAGTATTTAATTTATAAAAAAATCATTGATCGCCGAAAAAAGAGCTGCCATTAGTGAGTTAACTGCCACTCTTTCTATATGTAGGTAGCTTCACCTTAAAGCGGTAAGCATGCAGTATTTGTCTATTGATCTGCTTATATGTAACGGTTGAGCACGCTGTGTCATTAGCGCATGTTGCGTAACTGATTTGATGATGCGTTTTCAGATGTCGGGTGCAGTTGCGAACTTTCTCCGTGGCGGCGGCGGCGTCGGCGGTCGGGATGAAAAATCCAAATATCTCGGTGTAACAGCGCCAGTTTCGACTGCTTTACCTCGCCCTGGCGATCTTGAAAAGTCGAAGGAGCTTGAGACCGTACTACATGAATATGGCCTTTTCGAAAGCAGCGACGAACTTAATCATCGCTTACAAGTGCGTCCTCCGCAGCATGTGCTATGATCAAAGCCTTTAAAAGTTCAATATATTACATGCGGTGCGAATTACGTTATAAGTAAGCTTGAAAAAGTACTCAGACACGTATACAAAAAAATCAGTCTCGCATAGAATCCGTTTTTTCTTATATTACAGTTTCTGCGAGCCCTCTGTACTCTGTTAGGAACAAAGTAAAATATCAATAATATGGTATTTCTGTAAAATTTTCGGACAGAAGTCTGGATGATGCTCCAAAAGCTTGACTTTGCTAACTTCCGTTAAGCTTAACTTAATAAAAGTTAAGCTTTTGTTTGCAGGCATACGAGCCTTACTTGCACATTCTCATTCCATTTGTCAATTTCTGAATAATGAGCGCATTTACTTATGCTTTTTTTATACAGCCATGGTCGGTTACTTTAACTATTAAAGTGATTGTGTGAGAGCCGTATAGGGTAAAGTTATCTAGCGAAGTCGTCTTAGATGGGTTTACTACCCAAAGGCAAATTCTCACTTGTGCTTGTACAGGTATTGGCTCGAATTAACGAGCTCGTTCAGCACTGGATCCAGGAGGTGTCTGTCGCTAAGGGGATTCCTGAGAATGTGGCTCAGACAACACGTGGAAAAATCTTCACGTTTGGTTCATACCGTCTAGGAGTTCATACGAAGGGCGCTGATATTGACACGTTATGTGTGGCACCCCGACACGTCGACAGATCGGACTTCTTCAGCTCCTTCGTTGAACTGTTGAAGCAACAGGTTAGTGAATGTTGACTTGAATTAATCAAATGCCACTGAACAGTCAAATAATACGCACTCTACGAACATTTCATATTCGTGAGCAGAAAAAATTCCTCTGGGTTGTAGTGATAGTGAAGATATCTGGTTGTTATTTTTCTTCTAGACAAAGGCAGAGATTTCCATAAAACAGTAGAAACTAAACGTATATATGGTACTGACTAAATGTTTGTTGACTAAAATTTCGGGAGGTGACAACGCTATCCAGGCATTGATTTAGATCCCATTGATGTGCGCTGTGTATAAAAGTAGCTATCTAATGTTCTAACAACGACGTTGCATGGATGCGTTTTGTAGCCGCAAGTACGCGACTTACGTGCAGTCGAAGAAGCTTTTGTGCCCGTGATAAAAATGGAGTTTGATGGTATCGAACTGGATATGCTGTTTGCTCGACTAGCGCTGAAGGATATTCCTCCGGATCAGGAGCTCCGCGACATGACGTTATTGAAGAATCTCGACATGAAATGCGTTCGCAGCCTTAACGGGTGCAGGGTAAGCAGACATTTCGCAACCAAAGAAGAATAACTTTTGAACGTTGCTTAGTAACACACTCCGAAGCGCAATTATAATTTTTTTTTTATAAGTTACTGTAGTTGAAAAGTAGTTGAAAACCACCACTGGTTGATGATGCTTCTCGACGATTTCGATGAATCTCCCTGATGCTCGAAACGACAACGGTAGTCTTCAAGTAAAGCGAAAAATGTTTATCTGCAGCCTTTTTCATTTTTTAAATTTTTTGTTCTTTCGATTTTAAGGCTTGGCTATCTTTATCTCGATCTTAATTTTGCACGATTTTAAAGCCTTCGATACCTATTTTTCTGTCTATCAAGATTCCTGTGATAGACTGTTTTGTGCATTTGTTTCGTATTGTAACGTGTTTTTGTGTGGAATAGTTGTGCAAAAACAAATATACGCGGTATTTTTCACAGAATATCCTGAGCTGACATGAGTGTTTCAAATTTTTTTTTTCATTAACAGTGCTATTTATTGGATTTCTCATCTGCAGGTAACGGATGAGATTCTTCATTTGGTGCCAGATATCCCAGTATTTCGAACAGCTTTACGGACGATAAAGCTATGGGCAAAGAAAAAAGGCGTCTATAGCAATGTACTTGGGTATCTCGGCGGTGTATCATGGGCTATGCTTGTCGCACGGACGTGTCAACTATATCCACATGCCGCAGCAGCCACGATCATTCAGAAGTTCTTTCTCGTGTTTTCACAGTGGACGTGGCCTAAGCCTGTTCACCTTAAGGCACAAACGTCTGTGCAACATCATATAGGGGGCTTTTCTGTTTGGGATCCCAGAACGAACGTCGCGGACAGGTGTGTTGATTTTTCTCTCTGTCCCTCTCTCTCCGTCTCTCTCTCTCCCTCCCTCCCTCCCTCTCTCTCTCTCTCTCTCTCTCTCTCTCCCTCTCTCTCTTCCCGTCTCTTATTGAACAGATTTTGGATTTTTCATATGTGTTTAATATAAAAGGGTGAAATATCTCGCTTGCGAAATAACCTTGTTTGATTTTGTACCTTAGTATATATAAGCGTGCTATTGTATACTAGTGATATTTGTAGGCAACAGCTTTGGGCTCGCTTCATCGTTGGGTAAGTTATTATGCAAAAAAATCAGATACCAACTATTTTCTACTTCTATGAAAATTCTTCATTTATTTTTCATTATCTGAAGCAAGTGGGAAATATATTGTCATATAATGCTCTAAAGATCGGTCGCGACTAAATAAGTTAATGTATTCGTCTATTACGATTCATGCATGTACTTTAGCTGTTTTTAATTCGGCTATGGTCTTCGAGTAAAAGAACTTTTTTTTTTCGAAGCTCTCAATGCGTATTGGAATCAGGCACCGTCTTTTTTTATTAAATATTATCACATTTTAGTAGTGTATTGGTGTGCATTACATGTGCATACATATTACAGATATCATCTGATGCCGATCATAACTCCTGCTTACCCCGAGCAAAACTCCACGTACAATACGTCGTTAAGTACACGGACGATCATGACAAAGGTAAACGACAGATTTTAGAATCAGGTTTGAATTGTATTTTCATTATATGAAAAATTCCGACATTTTTTTTAAGACCCAACACTCAAAAGTAGATGTACTATAGGAAAAACCGGGAAACCGGGGTCCACTGTTCGTATGATATAGATAAACCTATGTTTATTATTTGACCCCGTCTCACTTAAATTGTTTGTTAGTACTTGACACGGCGGTATATTCTAATGCCTCATTACCTTATAAGATTTTGTGGTATTATTTTGCTTTATTTGCTATGGTTGCTAGGCATTCAAAGAGGGACTGGAGACGACTGAACAAATTCTGAAAGGAAAAGCAACGTGGCACGCTTTGTTCTCGCCACCAAAGTTCTTCGAGCAGTACAAAACATTCATCACGTTGACTGCCGTGGCACATACGAAGGATGACCTGCTTACCTGGTACGGCTTGGTTGAATCGAAGATTCGAACCCTAATTACGTCAATTGAACGACAGCCCGCCATCGAGATTGCACACATCAACCCGCAGAGTTATCCGGTGCAACCTTCTCAACAGGCACAGTTAGTCGCTGAAGCTGTCCGAGAGCTAGCGCAGACAGAGGGCTCGACGGGAGATCTGGCCGGAGGTGAGCCACCAAACGCCGATGACGTACACATCGAGGGAGTGAACTGGTTCATCGGCCTGCACTTTAGCCAGATCAAAGAGAAAAGCAGTCTCGACCTTACGGAAAACGTACGCTCACTTCGTGAGGTCATCTTCCGGCAGGCAGAGAACATCCGCATCCTCCGAAAGGGTATGGATATCAATGTGACGGTGCTAAGAAAGAAAGATCTGCCGACGATTTTGCCTCCTGAGGAGGTCGCGAGGCTGCCTCCTCCGCCGGAGCGCAAACGCAAATCCCAGCAGCGTAAAGCGATTGACGGCGTCACGGATGGGGCTTCGGGTGAGCCCGCTAACAAGAAGCAAAAGATTGACGGGTCTGCTGAGCAGAATGTCGCCAACTCAAATGGTGGCGTCATCGGCCCGGAGGCGCCCGCTGCTGCAGGTGGAAAGTCGTCTAGCGACAGCCCTGCTGAATACGGGGACGGCCATGGTGGCACGAATGCAGCGATAGCCGCGGTCAGCAGCAATAGTAGTAACAGTAGTTCTAGTAATCAGACGTGTCATAGTAAAACACTGAACAATAAAGTGAATGCCCACGGCAATGGCGATGTTGCGGACGCCACCGTCGTCACTACTACCACTACTACTTCAGGCGCAACGAGTGAAAATCAATCAGATCAGGGGTGAATCAGATCAGATCAGAGTTCGTAGAATGTGTGCGTGAGTGAGATGGCTGATGGGTGACAGGTCGATGATATTCAATTCAGTCATCGTCCATTAGAAACACAGCGGAAACAAGCGAATCATTGCAAAATACATATAATAGACACAATTGTATATATGGAAAGAACACACATGAGTACACCACGCTAAAGAAACGCAAGACAAAACACAAAAAATGAATTCTATAATGAGTATATTATGAAATCATAGTGATACTGATGGTATCGGGCGTGGGAGAGAATGACGACCAGTCAATAATAGTAATGATAGTAGGACGGACTGGAAGCCTAAGAGGGAAATTTCGGGTAATTTAAGTCACATAATGCTGCTAGCAAAAGTAGGCGATATTTGTTACTGATATGTTTGAGTGTTAGTAGCTATGTTGGCGTGCTTTCTGTCAGCTGAATAGTGGCATGTAAGTTGACCCCGTGCAGTACCAGTAGGTTGATGTATACAATTTAGCTTAGTGTGAGGTTAATTGAAAGCGAAGGAGACTAGGAAGAAGGCGGGACGCGAGTATTTACCGCATGCGCAATTTTTTAATGGGGAGATTTTGGGTACATCTCCTATACAAACAACGATTGGATGATAAGGGACCGTTACATGGTCAATCGGCTGAAGAGGTTTGACTATCGATTCAAAACTGCAATGGCCGAATTTATCATGCTAGCTGCAACAAGTGCACAGGTGACTGACACAGAGCACACGTAGGTGATTGTATTCGGTTTTATGCCTGCAAGACCACTAAGGAGGACTGAAAAAAGTGGGAAATGTAGAAGTGATCGTCAGGCGCATCTCGACTGATACAACAGGTGAGCAGATAATATAGCTAGAGCTGATGGTAGATGTCGGCGTAGCAACAAGTTGATATCGGGGTAGGGTTTTCAATTTGGAGAATTTTAGGCAAAAAGTATAATGGTGCAAGAAGCGCGGTGAAAATCTACTTATAACGCCGCTCAAATCGGCAATTTGTATCCTGTATTTTCATCGGTATTTCTTACAGTTGATTTTTCCATAGGTCAAAAAAGAAGCGTGCTTAAAATGAATAATTAGGTAAACGAGTGGTACTGAGAGTTCTAGTTGTCTGATAACTTGATTAGAAAGATCTCGCGTAATTCCTACATACCATCTATTTGATTTTGAACTTACAACTTTAGACAAGCCCGCGCTTCATTAACGCGTTTTCACTTTACTTAATTCCTACAATCTGCTATTTCTCTGCTGGGTTTTTTTTACTTCAGTGTTAGCTCAGATCAAAGTCTATTATAATAAAGCTTCCTGCAATCAATTTCACACTCCCTAAATGACAAGATCAGCAACATCGGTATGTTAGTGTACAACCAGGAATGTTTTTTACCAATTTGTCCTATTATTGGCCTTCGCCGACGTTTTATTTACAGTCTGCTATATTTCGCAAATTTTTCCCCTTTCTCTCGCACCCGATCGTTTTAATAGACTATTGAACCTGTGTCCCAGTCACCTTACTTTTCCTTCCGTATTTTTAAAAATAAGAAGAAAGAGTATAAAATTAGTTTCCCTACTCAGAACACAGTAATAGTTGTTGTCGCATTACAGCTAAACACTAAACATATTCATCTATATTTTATGTGTAATAATAATGAGCTTATATTATTCTAAAGACGTACTTTCGTGCCTTACGACAACGCCCATATATTATACATATATTATATTTATATATATATGGGCGTTGTCGTAATATATATATACATACTCTGCTTACTTCTGCTAGTGGTAAAAAAACTTTTCTATTCTTTTAACTCAATGAGGGTTGAGTATAAATCTTTTTTTGGACTTAGTAGAGTGATATAATCATGAAATAGATGCAGGCGAAATAGAGAAAGTATGTTAGATCAATACATACTATCCCTATTTCATACAACACAAGCATATCCATACACTTCCAAGCTATTGTACCCTTATGCTTCCATACCTGGACCTGGGTTTCACCGATTTTCTGATCAGTAAACCCAGCGCAGTCTACACACATTTCTGAACGCAGCGATAGACAATCGCATTGGAAACTGGGAATGCGTTACTGAATATCACCATAAGCACTATGTCTTTTGCTAAGTTTACTAAACTGTAGCAGGAAATTGTAAAAGGAGAAAAAAGAGGAGGAGAAGAAGAAATTGTAGTACTCCAATTTCAACTTGTTGCTATGCCGATATTATTATCAACAGCTTTAGCTAGATTCTCTACTTATCTGTTGTGTTGATCGAGATGCGTCCGATGATTACTTCTAGAGATTCCTATAGTTTTTCCAATCCTATTTAGTCATTTTACAGGCTTAAAATCGGTTAGAACCATTTACATGTGCTTCATGTGGGTCATCCGTGTAGTTGTCGTGGTTAGCATCATAAGTTCTGTCATTGCAGTTGCAAATCAATAACAAAACTCCTCTGGCCGCTTAACCGTGTAAGAATTCATTATCAGCCATTAGTTATCTGTTTATATGAAAGACGTACCAAAAATATCCCTATTGAAAAACTGCGCATGCGTGCAACACCCGAGCTTCGGCTTGACATGAAAAATATATAATGCAAAAGATAATAGTGCAGGAAGCGCGGTGAAAACCCACCTACCAAACGCTTTTGGAGAATGCGTTACTAGGTGCAACTATTTATCGCTGCGTTCAAAAATCTAAGGACTGCGCTGGGTTTACTAATTGGATAGAATCACCGCCCAGGCATCAAAGCGTGGAGGGGGGTGTTGGTTTAGAAGCGTATTTATATATATGTATTGGTATAACATTACCTATTTCGCCTGTGGCTCTACTTCATGACTCCATAATCATTTCACTAAGTCTGAATAGAAACTTGTGCTTAAATGAAGAAAAGAGATGAAAAAAATGCATGATAGTAGCTCAGAACAGCGTAACTGAGTAAAAATAAAAACGTGCGGAATGCGATTGTGTGCGAATGAGATCTAGGGAAATGTTGTATGAATGATGAAAGTCAGTGGTCAACTCTCTGAGTTTCTGCTAGGTATTATTTTCTCCCACTTGCAGAACTTGGTTAGAGAGGGGGAGGAAATACTAAATATGCTAAAGTCGCACTTTCATGCTTTTCAACATATATATATGAAGGGTGATGTTGAAAGTGCCACTTTAGAATATTACCAGCTATTATTACTATCATTCTTATTATTATACATAAACTACAGACGAAAATGTTCAGTGTTTAGCCATATTGCGACAACAACAGCTACTACCATGTTCTGAATAGGGGAACTTAAGTACTTTCTAATAATAAAAAGTCGGGTAAGTGGGATACAGGTTCAATAGTACATTGAACGATTGGAAGCGACAGAAAGAAAGAAAATGGGCGAAATGCGGCGGATTGTACATAAAACGTCGACGGAGGCCGGTAAGAGGACACCGCTTTAATTCATGTAAGCGGTGAAAAATAAATTCTTGATTGTACACTAACATGCGCTTTTGATCTCGTCATTTAGATAGTGCAAAATCGAGTTGCAGAGCAACTTTGTTGAATAGACTTTCAAAACTGACACTCCGATATCAAACCAAGTGGAAATATGATTATTAATGAAGCGCAGGCTTCTTGAAAGTTCCGACTTGTTTGCTTACTCTTTGTTGGCCTATGGGAAAGATTAACCGCAAGGGTGATCAACGTAAGGGCGGAGTATTAATTGAAGATTCAAGCTGCGTTAAATATAGGGTGACTTATTTTTTAAATCATACTTTCGGAGCTTATAATTTTATTTACAAAACCCGCCTTGGTTTGGAGAATGCCAGGAATTAAATATGTTTGAGGTTGACATAAAAGTGGTTCTTAAATGAAATACTGCGCTAATCGCATGAAATCGCTATTTTTAATAAAGACGGTAATTTTCAAACCACGAAATTGAGGTATTGAGGGGGAAGGGTCTAGCTCGGTCGCTGTTCGTTGATGGTGGCAGATACGGGCCGCAAACGAACGGAATAATTTGCAGTACAACGTACATCGTTGGAGGTACGGAGGAGAAATGCGATTGTTGTTATTGGCACGTTGGTCTATTAGGCCTTAGGTGAGGTTAAATGTGCACAAGGGGCTTTTTACTTACCGCTCATTCAATTTGTTTTTTTTTTTATGTCCAGATATGTACATAAAAATATATATAAACAGGAATCTTAACAATGATACTCTATTAATCATTGTTCTATACATCATCAGCTCACGGTTGTGCCGGTACAATATGAGTTGAGTTTGCTATATTCAGGTCTCAGGCGTATTCAAGAATATCATGCCTATTTATGTGAATTGACATGAACAGTTAACGACAAAGCCAAAACTAAAATGTTGATGGAAATCACATCCTTCATGACATTGTTCAATGCACGTATCTGACGAGAGCACTTAAGACCGTCTCAGAATTTGATAATTAGATTTAGGTTAATTACGCTAGTTTCTAACTAGTCCTTACTAGTTTGTGGCCCGCGCGTACAGGTAAAACAACACCGCCTTATTCTCCGGGGTTTCGGGATCGTCAGAAAGTTTTATTCAAATTAATCGTATTTTACTTTTTCATTGTTCTACGGTGAGCTAAATGAGTGTTCGAAAAGCGAATAAATCTCGTCTCTATTACATATGATCGCCCATTTAAGGACTCGATTTAATTGAACTTGGAATAACCAATTTATGGTGAAATCTGGTGTAAAAAAAGACTCTCTGTAGGACAAAAGGATTACGATGTTTATTTTTCAAAAAAGTTTCAAAGCAAAAAGAACATAAATAAATAGCTGGATTTGAAGGAGATGCAGAAGGTTTTGTTGTGCGCGTTAGACTTTCAAAGAAGGATTGACTAAATTGTCCATAGTTGTCATATCTTCTTACTTTCTTTTTTCGATCGATCACTTTTAGCAATCTGGTTCTTAAGGCATCTTGGTAGTAAATTAACATTATCTGATTAAGGCAAAAAGGTCACCGAAATTTTGCAAATGTCCGACCGTTTGCTGTTTGACTCTGCAGGGTTGAGTTACGCGCGATAAACCTCGTTGTATCTTATTTTAGTCTCAATTGATTTGTTGAACAGATTAACACCTGTTAACGCAATAATAAACACCGAACGTGACACACAGTATCCTGTTTATAAGGCAGTACTATCGATAAATATAGCCATATTCGACATTGATTTCGTGTATTAATGCCAAGGTTTCAGAAGGCATTAAAGTAGTATTTATTGCATCATTCGCTCATAATTGCATAAGTAAGTGCAATTTGTAGTGAATTGATACCTAAAGACATAACACAACTTGGCTTGGATTGTATTAATTTCGATGGATGCAGTGATAACTAGCCCTATGGTTGACGAATTAGCACAAGATCGCTAGTGACTGAAATAAAAGATACGATCTACTTGTTGGGTGACCAACAGAGTATAATTTCTTTGTGTCAATTGAGACATAGCCTTGGGCATTTTTGTTGTTGGATAATTACTTAAGTATTAAACCGTTAATGAATTTCTTTTTAATAACATAAATCGGAAAGTATGGCATGTTTTTTAATATTATGCTAAATGAACTGGGAGATAATTACCCACCGTGTAATCCTCGTTAAGCCTTGATAAAGTTTTTTAGCCCCCGGTTGACCTGTATATTGGATGTCTTTGAATTTGAACCATGAGGTGTTACTACGAGGGTTATCCAGGAAAAGGCCCACCGTATAATTGAGCTTTTATCCCTTTTAATCCTCTGCTGAAATCCCCGAAAAGTTGGCCTACATTGCAAAGTTTTAGCCCCTACGTGAAGTACTAAACGCTGTTTATTTCCATCGTTCGCTGACTATCCGATCTACTGCATGAGTGAAAGATAGACCCTCGATGCCTGTGCCTCTTATGAAGAGACATGCAAGATGCGCTACTCGTTTCAGTAGTTATGGCTGCAGATGATGGCCTTCTTACGGTTACGACCATCGTCATTAACTTGTTTTATAGTCGGGGGGTCGTTACTATTTTCACACTGGTTAAACTTCAATATGAATTATGTATCTATGAAATATAAATATTTATTATTATGAAATATAAATAATGCTTAAGCTGGATAATTATACTAATAATAAGGATATGATATTAGTGAAGTTACGGTTTAACGAACCTATTATCATTCACGTTGTTACCACCCGAATATTTTGCGCTTTTTTTGTGTCTCTTATCTCACTCAAAAAAGTGGACTCAAAGCGATGCGGAAAAATCCTAAGCGGTGAGAGAACACGCCATACCTTTATCTTTTCCATTAAAGTTTTTTCAGTAACACAAAACGTTCATTACGCTGATTTTTTTCCACCTACGAAAGACGAATATCTTACCTATAATAGGATTTCTCAATCGAAAGTTTGAACTTTGGTCACATTACTTGAACTTTATAGGAACTTAACATCGAAATTGCGCACATTAACCCTTAGAGTAACGCGGTACAGCCCGTTTAACAGAGGAAATTGAACGTGCTAGCGAAAATAGTCCCTGGGGCTGGGCGGTCGGCTGAAGGTAGACAGAATTGTATGGATGTTCATGCTAAACCTGTGAAGTGGTGTATCAGTTAATGTTTTCGCCAAATCGAGGGGAACAGCAATCGCGACAGAACGGGGTACACTCGTAAGCTTCGCAAGTAAATCCGAGTATACGCGGAGCATATCATGATTTTTCGACAAAGTATAGAAATCAACCATTCAAGTGTTGAAATAGAAACTGCGCAAAAATATCAAAAAGAAAGGCCAAGCAAATGCTGATAGTGGCCCACCAATTCACAAAGCCTAATTCATCTGAGGACACCACCAACTTTGCTTTGAATGAACCTAATGTCAAATTCAATTAAAATCAGAAGAGTTACAGAAGCAACATCAGCACAATTCTACTGTGAGTATTGTAAAGAGCAGATTTCCGAACAGAATGTGACAATTACCCTTTTAAACCACCGAAGTGAACTGAGTATAATTGGACACTGAACAGACAAGTGGTTCCTATGCATAAAACGGACACGAAACATGTTTAGTCTACACATGGTTAGAACGAAAAAGATCGTCTGTTTTCAAAATGTCGAGAAAGAGAAAAATTAAAGGCTGGTTCCGGCGATCACGACTGTTGTAAAAAAATCCGGCATTTTACATGACGTACCATTTAATGTACATTAACTTTCAGTAGAAACTAATGTATATTTCTGTAATGAAAATGCACGCCGCAAAATTCGCTCACTTAACTCGGTCAGAGAATTCTGCCAAAAAAATTTATGGAGTATGTTAACAGGACAGAAATTGAATAGGTGTAAACGTTATGATGTAACAATGTCACAACGTCCCTCAAATGCGACACTTATTTGATGATTCTTTCTGCGTAGCCAAACTGCCGGGCTACAAATAAAACAAGTGGTACTATGTGCTATACAATCCTTTATACGACTTATACTGTTCATTATTTTTTTTATTGTGCTTTGCTATTATTTTTGTTACAGTTCTATTTACTTGGCAATAAAACGCAGTCTGCTAGAAATACCGCTGCGCCACCTTTGCCAGCTTTTCATACTTACCTACCGCTTGAGCAACGCGAGAACTCGTGCGTTTTTGTGCATGTGTGTGTAGATATTTAACAGTTTGGCAGAAATTAATGACTCGCATGTAAGTACGAATCTAGAATACTGTTAACTACTGCATGCACCAAAGTTAAATATAACAGATCATTAATAATGGTACTATATCAAGTTTCAAATAGAAGACACCTGGTTTCGGCCATTGGGTGAATTAATCGATCTTTTTCTAGACTTCTACAATCATAGCCGTTGCTTCTATTTCACTATTATATAAAATGTAAAAACGGTCGTATCTAAGCCTAATGCACCTGTGTGCTTTACTTTATCTGTTATTAACTCAGATCTTAGACCTTCGATTGAAGTTAATTATGTTTTCATGTATCTGAGTCTAAATAATCGCACGAATTTAATCCTGCTTATCTAGCTTAAAAATTGGATGAAAACTTCAGGTAAGGAACGTGCAGAATTCTTAGAAGATAAATCTAAATATATTTTTTTTTTTATGTTACTTAGTTGGCATCGCATTTGCTGCTTTGTTGTTGCAATTGTGATAGCTGATAAAAATGCTGTAATAAACTGAAAAGAGTGCATAACAACAACAACAATAACAAATACTGTAACGACACTGTATAGGGCATTTGGGGTGGCTTTAGAAGGTTACATATGAGCTCTTCCTTTACAATTAACATCTAATTGATGAGCAAGAATGCCAAGGAGTGCAATAACTTTTGGTCAATTTTATAAACGATTTTTGTTATAACCAAAAACAGCTTGACTTTAGTTAATTTGATAAAAATTTAACCTTTATTTAAGGCCATGTACCCTTCACAGCCCAACCGTTTGCGGCTAAATTTGAATACTTAAATTAAACGTTTTAAAATTTCTATGTTTGTCATACCGATAACAGTAAGCTACTGTTTTTAACTAGTTTTTTTTTCTATTTTAGGCTATTCTACACGTTTACATTTGCACAACTATCATTCGTCTAATAATAAATTAAAAAAAAAAAGCATTTTAATGAAGAGGATCATGGAAAGATTTGCGTGATAGACCTCTAAATCCTAAGTACGTTTCAAAACTGATGTAAGTCACCCGCGGTCAATATGCTCCCGTGAGATACGGTCGTCCATGCCAAGCCGACAATCGTGAAGAAAGCAGCCTTACTTAAGAATGTTGGAAACCGGTTCAATGAATTGCCACGAAGTAACGTTTCTTAACGAGGGGTATCAGCTCAAGAAATATAACTTGTAAAAAAACCTTGGATATTTGGTAGGAGACAATATACTTGAAAGGGATTTAATAACGGTGTTTTTTTAACCGTTGGTTGTATAAGTGCACGGAATAGAATAGTGTATGATAGATACTGTATTGACTGTTGTGGCTTTGTTTTTATCTAGGCAACTGCATGTCTATTGTTAGGCTTTGCTCGACGAGATTTTCGCAGTTGTGCAAATTATTTTTGAGTTGCAAGAAATCAAAAATCTGTTTTTGAAGAGGCGGTGTCTCTTGCAACTTAAAAGCAAAATAACTGCTACAAAAAGTTTTGTTGATGCAACGGAATACCCGTTATGTATCAACAGTAAACTGACCTATTTCGGGACATCTAAACTAGCCAACTTCACATTAGCTATTAGTTCTAATAAGTTAATATTAAAAACACAAGTCTCGCCCTTAAGGGAATTTGTTTCTGTTTATTAAATCTACTTTACCTCTATAATTTTTAACGATTAATAATAAGCAGGTTTCGGTAACTAAGTAATGGTTGCGCATTTGAGGAGGCGGGGTGGGGTCCAATAGGGAGTTGAGAGAGAAGGGTTTTGTGTAGCCTTTCCTCTTCTATGTAGAGCTTCTATGTAGCATAGTTGCTGCAAGGCATCGTCCCTTGGGTCTTGCATCTACACAGCGTACTCACACGACATTTGCCATCACCGGAGCAAAGATCTCAAAAATTACCAAACTAAGGGTTCACAATCATATGTACTTGCTAGACCTGACGGTCTCGTACGGTCTCTCTCGATATCCAATAGCAGTGTTTCATATCCACGCAGGTTTTTATTACGTACTATTTATTGAAAGTAGTTATAAATTACGTTTGGAACGCTCTCGTCCTATCATTATATCCGAATAACAAGGGACATGTGTAGAAACTTATGATTAATTTATTGTTTCATTGAAAAGGTGGAAGGAAAAATATTTCCCGCAAAAAGGGCTTTTCAGGATGCGAGATGTTTCCAGCGTCCCAAGGGGAAACACGGACTCCGAAAAGATCTCACCCCTCTGAGGACCTTTTATCCTTGCCAATATTTTCTGTAGCGAGCCATTTTAATGACAGTCTTTCAAAAGCGAATGCGTAACTGACGAGCAATAAATTAACAATGATCTTCATTTTCAATTAAATTTGTTTTTTCTGTGTAGTACTCCTACCGAATAAATAAAAATGGTTGCAAATTGGGTCCGTTCTCCATATTTACCGGCTACCTATCCAATAAATCCACTATCTATTATACTAGTCAATGTATTTTCGGTTGTTAGGTTGGCGCAAAAAAAACAACGCAAAGAATACACCGGCAATAGGAACGGAACATCTCATGGGTCATGATGACCAAAACAATGGGTAGTATGAACAGGATATCAGGAACAAACTTGTCGAGTCTTTGTAGCAATGCGATATTATTTAATACTTCTTCATCTTTCGTTTGTTATTATCGAGCTGAAATTGATCGTCACCAAATGTCTAATTGATCGCTTGTTTACTGGGTAGATAACTGTTAATTATGAAGAACGGATCCAATCATTGCAATGATTTTTATTTTCACGGTAGGAGTACCATACGAAACTAAAAAAATGTACAATGAGGGTCTCTGTCGATCCGCTTTCTGGCTGTATTCTGTTTGTGTGTGTCCGAGAATTAGACAAAAGAATGTGTGGCTGTATGTGCCAGACCCGCAATAGCATTATTCTTTCTGATGGGTCCTTCCTGTTGATTTCTGTGGGTGTTAATATGTGTTTGCTGATAAAGGCAGATTTGCATGTTTGCCCTTATATCTGTTTCTACGTGTGCTGCTTGTTGAATAACGTTAATCCATATTTTATTTTACTCGCTCAGCCTTAAATGGTATGGTAAATACGTAAAGCACTGAAGCCCGACGACCGTTCTAGCCGGTTAATTAGATCCTCATTGCCGATAAACACGACTATAAATACTAAATCGTGACTGCGGCTGTGTGCTCTTTTAATAAATACGGTGCAGTTTGTGCACACCGTACTTGGTTGAACATCTGAATAGCATGCACAGCCTCACGAACATGCTCAGGCATCACCAACAATCGCAACTAATTGCTTTTGAGACCCGTTTGTCTCTATGGCCCAAACGCGACGTTTGCCTAATTTTTTCACTCTTAAGGTTGCTGCTCATAATAAGCGTATAGCGCAGACGTTTTTCTGTGGTTAGTGTTCATCCCTGATCACGGTACGTTCTTCCTGCCGAAGCCGTCTGTCTCCTTATGTGTTCCGTCATATATCATTGTTAACAAGATAGTGTTTTGTCTCCTCCTTTGAAGAAATTTTCAATGATGCAAATGCGAATTCACCAGAGCTTCTATAGGGTCGATATCGAAAGAGGATTATCGGCGGAGCACAGAGCTGCGCATGACAAATCAGCGCGCTCAGCAATCACTTGCTTATGACCTCAATACTAGCCACACGTAGTAATGACTATTATCAATAGCCAGTGCATGCCGGTGTCTCCCGTCGTGCGCGAGTGGCACTCCGCAAATCTTCCTATCTTTTAGCACTCTGCCTTGTCTTCTGTCGAGTGTGTGCAACTTAATGCAACAATTCGTTCATTCGTGGAAATTGATTCATATAAACTTGGACGGAAGCAATAATGATCGACTAATTCCGCTGATAAACGCCGAAATTTCGACGGGTACTGCTGGCAGTCGATGACTAAGGGAAAAAGGTTTCCCCTCACCGACCTAATCCACACATGTACTTACTGCTTTACGTATTTTCTTTCCTTAACCGGAGCTAGAAGTACAAGCTTTTTTCCTTTGCGCTTAAACCGGCGGGGGCCCGGCAGGGAACTTGAGCATAGGGTTCATCGATCTTGCGAAGCTGTTGGCGAACACACAGCTAAAGTCGTCCTCACTGATTGGCAGGAGACTGGCGGCGCCAAGAAGTAACAAGAGGAGCGCCTGGATCGGGAGAGAGATTCGCATCACACGGCGCACAAACCATTGCCAACGCGTTTCCACAGGCTCCTTCAGTGGGAGAAAATCTTCTACTGAGCCAGCTGGCGATACCTCATGAGACGCCTGGGAGCAGGCGTACAGAAAAAAAAAACACTATTTTCAGTCGGGGCTATTCACTGTATCAGATCTTGTGGGGTACTGTGTGATTAACGTGCATATATCACGTATATATGTGTATCGTTACTGCTAAAACAAAGGTGAACAAATCAAATTCGATAACATCGGCTAAAGCTTATCATGATAACGTGAACAATACTTCTAAGCTGCGATACTAGTATATCCTGTTAGATAGGTAGTCAGTTGTATAGTCTCTAACTGATTTCATCCACTGTGACTGAATTAGCAGTACTGTGAAAAATTTCAATGCTTTGATATTATAGCATCTAACTTTAACACCTTATTGGATTAGTCGTACCTGAAGTCCATGCAAGGAACACAGTGAAAGAAGGCGATCCATCTGTTGGGCCACCAACTCAATCGAATCGTGCAGAGAAGGACCGAACGATTCAGCCTGCTGAAGTGCGTAGACTAGCGGTCGGGCCTGTTCGAGATCATCACGGGTGGTCACTAATTCCGCCAATTTTCCATCGTCGGTCTCGGCCGAGACTAGCCGATTTTCGGCTGCCGTTAACCAGTCAGACAGTTGTTCTATCGATGCGCGAACGAAAAACAATACAACAAGAAATACAGAGTTTCAGAGAGAGTACATTTCATACAAAGCATGGAACATTAGCTAAATGGCATGGTAAATCGGAACACAGACAGGAATGAGTGATCAAAGTTTCCTCCTTTTACTGCTATATATCAACGCCTCTCGTCACAAATAAAAAAGAACCCGAAAATGACGAACTACAACGCATCTTTGGCTGCGCCTACGTCTGCCTTAACTACATTTAGGCGTTGTAAGGTACTGAGTTGCGACTCCAGCAACACCACTTTTTTTCATTGTTCTACTGATTATGCCACATGACATGCCCTACGATCACCTTGAAATCTGAGTAACCTTTTCGGATTTTCTATTGTATGTAATTAAACTTCGAAATTGCAGGTAGTGGCCGACACCTCGAACGATCTGCATAGATGTTTAATCAAGTTAAGCACTTTGGACGGCGAAAGCGCCGTCACAGCGCTTCGACATGGCTTTCTGAATTAATGAACCACATAGAATATTCGAAATTAGTGTCCTTTGAGAGAGCAGTTGATTCTCTTTTGTGGGTGGGCAGATCACGAGATCGTCGTCCGTTTGATATTACTACCAACATAACTCTCCGCGAAGGCCAATGCGTTCTAAAATAAAGAACGCTTCACAATGTGTCAGATGTGTTATACTGAGCTACCTGTGCCGTAGAAGCAGCGTGATATACGCAACGGCTTATTGGCCATTGGCTTATGTCTAATGCCCTGAATTCATCTGATCACATTGCGATTAAAAAAAAGACGTCCATACCTTTTCGTCGACTCCAATCACACCCGGTAGGTGAGTGCAATGAAACTAAATACCTTACTTTCGGATTGTTGCACACTTGTTGTGTAAATGAACACTTTTCAAGTCAGAAGAAACCATTTTAATTAGGCGAGAGCCTGTACCTGTAATGCAGGCCTTTTTTGCCTATATTTTATTTTGTCTCAGCCAACACGAATAGCCTTGTTCTTTGGGAAGATCACTAACGTCGTGAATAGTTGCTTTGTTTTGATAACGCAAAGAATACTATCCTTCATTAAGCGTCACAACGGTACAGATGTATGTCTTAATACCTTTTGGAATGGTTCGAGTACCTATAAATAGGGTCTTATTACATAGGTTACATAGGTGAGCATTTAGCAAGCCACGAACACATACCGACTGTCTCGTCGAGATGAGCTGCCTCAACCAACGTCGCCTGCAGCTCGTCTTGCGTCTCAGACAATGTTGTGGCCACGAATGACTCGTACGCATCGCGGATCTCTTCATCAATTGCAGTATCGATTTTGCATTTGATATCACCACATTGGAGAAGCAGTGCACTGAACTCCGTGATGCGCTGTCCAATATAGTTAGGCGAACCACGAATTGCTTCGGACTTCGCCTTTAGCTGCTGGATTTCCTGTAACAGTGTCGCAGGACTGCGAATTTCTGGCGACGACGTCGCTGCCGCATCGTTTGTGTTGTCGTCTTCATGGACTCTCGCACATGGCCTAATGCTCGAGCTGTCGAGCGACAGCTGGTCGAGTAACTGCCTATTGCTGCTAGATGTCATCAACTGAACAACGGTGGGATCAAGACGGAACTGCTGTGCGGGCAAACGGCCACGTAGTCGATCGACGTTTGCCAACAGTTCCTTATGGTGACTGTGTAATACATCCAGGTCTAGTTCGGACCGGCTAAACACGAGCTCGTCGATGGTGTCGCCTGAAAGATATGATTCATTTGTCATTAGGGTGTTAGTCACATTCACTTAGCAGCTCATGCGATCGTGATGACAACGAAAACAATACGAAACGAGCAGAAAAACAATACGAAACAACGAACAGCGGCTGTAATAAAATGAGAATTACATGTCAGAACAAGCAGGCGTGTTAGACGATTGGTTGAGTAGAGAACAGGACACAAACAAGGTTATTTCGGAGCCTACTTACGCCTCCGTTTCCTAAAAGGGTGCTTCGAGGGATTCGACCGATTCAAGTGAATCCCTTCGTTTAGATCGCACTGAAAGAGGACATCGATCTCTCAGTCCTATCATAAATTAATAAAAATAGCTAATTGAAGGGATAGCCTAAAGTCGTCATTTAAAAAATCTATCTCGTTGTCATCACTTCACGTAACTAGCACCATTAATAACTATGACTAGCTGGATTTTCGGCATAATGCCACCAATCTACTAAACTGCGACACACTTAGGCCCCAGTTTTTTTCCTAAATAAACGACCGACATTCGAAATGACCGACCTCTTAGCTTACTAGCTTGCTCCTCCAGCTGTTGAAGTTGACGCTCAGTTGCCTGAAGTCGGAAACCAACGTCTTCAAGATTTGTATCGGACAGCGGTAGTTTTCCCGTGGCCATCTTTGTCATCTGGATATCAACTTCCGTCAGCCCGACCATGACGTTTTGTTTATCGAGCTCGAACTTGCTCCAGTGCGATACTGCTTCAGCGGCGCGGGTTGCCCTCTCGGCGCAACTGGCATTGAGTCTGTTTGATTTAATATTTAGTTTTTTAACACGGACAAATAGCTCGTCATTGACGAGACCGCTATTCGTAAGCTTCAAATGAAGCTGATTTACCCGCATGTGTTGCTCGATAATGCGGGCCTCAAGGTTCTCTTTGATGGTTTGTACGTAAGCCAGTTCGTCAGTAGTTGTTGAGTGAACAAGCGTAAGATCTCGCTCGATATCGAGCAGGGATTCTTCGGCCAGTGCGAGGTTAGTACGCAGCTGGCCCCATCCAATTCGAATTGAGCGTAGTTGCTTGACCTATCGGCCGACAGAAGAGAGAGTATTTGCCGCTCTTAGCCAAATATAACGAACTATGTTGAATAACTTAAAAATCAAAAGTAGAAGAAACTGCATTGCATATATTAAATCATATATTTAAGTTTTGTTGTTTTTTTTTTTTATATACGCTTGAGTCACATAGAAAACCAATAAAATAATTTTGTGCTTCGAGTGTATCACATTTAAATATACGACTTCTGTTGACGCGAATTTTAATTTCAAATACTAATTACGGTAAATAAAAGCTTTTAACGCGCTATACAGTTGAAGCTTACCCTTGTCTTATAAAGTTTGCAGATGACGTCGATCCGTTTGCGACATTCCGTGAGCTGTTGCTTAATAGATTCTTCGGTTTCTGATGTTATTAGATCATGATAGTATTTGAGGAGCTCGTTAAAGCTTCGTTCAAGCGCCGCGTATCCTTCTGTAAGGTGCTTATTTGGTTTTTGCTTCTCGAGATTCTCCATGAACTTTTCCAGTTGGTTAAGATCGCTGAATGTGAACGGTCTGTCAAGTTGCGCTTTTACATCGTCCATGTTCTGATTAAACGCCTCGAGCGAGGCCAGCAGGTCACATCTGAGGATGAGGACTTGCTGGAGTCTCTTCTGTAGTTCGTCCAACTTCTTCTCATTCTCCTCTACGAGCTTTACGGACTTCGAAGCAATGGCCGGCAGTTTGGCACAAAGTTCGTCCTGCAGTAGATTGGCTTCGGAAACTGGTACAATGTGCTCGTTGAGGTCGTAGAAAAATTCGTCTACTGGCTTATCTTGAATGGTGACTATTTCAGAAGCAACCTGCCCATGATTTTCCTGCAAGAACTCGAAGGCTGTTTGTTGATCCACAACGATAGTGTTAAAAGCTGGCCGCGGTAGTTCGTCTGCCTGGACAGCTAACTCGGTGTTTGGCCTCCGCTTTAGGACTTCATTGGCAGCGTCAATGATGTTATTAATATTAAGCATGGCCAGATTGGTCTCGCTATCGATTAATTGCTCTTCAGCCAGTAATGGCAGATTGGCCCTAATACCTTGGTGAGCGTCCTGAATGGCTTTGATCTGTTGCTCGATTTCAGCTTGTTGAAACAGATCACACACAGTACCCGCGTCGCACACCGCTAGACCTGAAAGTAGCTTCAAAGTGTCAGATGCCAACTTTGTGACAAGGGAGTGGAGCGTCTCAATATTATACCGGGTGGTTCCGAAGAGATCGTCTTCCTCAGAAAATTTCTCGAGCGTCACTTCAATTTGAGCTAGAGTCTGTTCTAGTTCTATTTGGAACTCGAGCGATAACTTATCCCGAGCGGCTATTAGCTTGTTTCGAATGAGGATAGCATATTCACGTAAAGTAGCGGCTTGTGACCGTCTTTTTTCAGGGTTGGGCGACAAGCTCAAGAGACGGCCTGATTCGCTGGTGCAGGCAAGCAACTGGTTAACGAGAGACGACTTGTCCTCGTGGGTAGCAATAGCCGTTTCGAGTTGGCAGAGCGCTTCGATGAGCCGTGTAAAGTCATCGTGCCACCTTCGTCGCAGCTCACACTGATTCGACTGGGTTTTTAAGCAATCACTTGCTTTTAGCATCTCTTTCAGGCATCTGTATAAACGTACAGCAGAATGTGACAATATCAGTCTTCATATCACCAAGCTGTCACTTTACCGTATCAATGTTTGCGTAGAAAATGTAATATTAAAACAGGCTGCTTTTTCGGTTTTTTGATAGTTCATATTTAAACTGGTGTATATATTTCCTGTCGGCCATGGAACAGAACAAGGGCAAACCTTACCAAGAAAAAAAAGAACAATTTAAGTATTAAGCTATAGGTGAGATAGACGCGAGTGCCTCTCTTGACACAAACCTTTGCAGCTTTCTTTGCTGGACCAAATCACTTTTGTTTGGCTGTTTGAGCGCTCTCTCAGTGTCGTCTAGCGTTTGAAGAACATATGTGGAATCGAAATCGTAAGTGAGCTGACCGGGAAGTGCGACCTCTCCGAGAGCCTCCCTAAGTTCAGGATCCAATCGACGATAGAGATCAATTGGGTTCTCCCCAAGAACAATCTGCTCTTGAGCATTTCTGATTCTTTGCTGCTTTTTCTGGAAGTCCTCGACCGCAGTAAGTCGCTCCGCGGTCTCCTGCCATCTGAATAAACATAGAAAATAATAGACTTTCGTACTTGTTTGTTTGAAGTTAAACATGACCTTAACAGCGTAACCTACAACATCGTTCACTGTCTAAAGGCAGAAGGCTAAATATTATCAATATGTAACAAACCTCTAACAAAATTCCAGGGAATACAACCTAAGCCCAGGCGTAACCTAATGATAGTCTATAAACTGAACGGAAATAGGCTCTCTGAGCGCATGTATGTGTTAAAGCTAACTCGTGATGACTCGTAAGATGAACTCGTAAGAGCATGTTACGTTTTGACTGATAGTTAATTATAATCCATAAGTAGCTAAAAAAGGGGGTTGTTGCAACGAATATTACCACCACCTCATACGACGAAGTCGGTCTAATTTACATTTTAGCCTTTGGGATAGAACATTTATACTTTGATACAGATGTCTTTTTCTTATAAACAAATAAAAAATCTTTTCTCAATAAATAAAGGATAAACTTTTCACGACTAATTTTCCCTGCTCAGTGTTCTTGCATTCAATTTTGCGCTTGTCTGACAATGCCATAAGTTATGTAGTGTAATACATCGGGTGCTTAGTCCGTTCGTTGTAAGTATATAATAATTTTACACAGACACAGATTTTGAAGTTAATGTTTAGTTTCCTTCAATGAGTAACTCAGGTCGTTTTTAAGGCCTGTATCCTTAATAACCTACGCACAGTTCATGCTAGGGCCAGCAACATTCAATTAAGATTCAGGCGCGTCACTGCGTATACAGAAAGGTATCTGTCGGGATAAATGATAAAATCACTACAATATGTTGAACTGGGCAGCGGATGTGCGAATTTTGTAGATATTTTTTAGATGAACTTCCCATTTAGGTTTATGATTATGAGCTTATTCTGAATTGTAACCAATGTTTTTTAGAAAAAAAAGCAAAGGTAGATACCACCGGGTCAATATCTGCATTGAATAGAACATTTAATTATCTAAGTTTTAACTTTGTAATCGAGTGATTATCGGTGCCAGTGCGTTCGAGAAAAAAACCCATGAATATCAATAGTAACAGCACTGCGTTTGATCATAGTGAATTGATTTGTTCTGAACTATTGCACAGTACAGTATCCGTTTCATACTTAATAACTTAATAATAATAACAGTTATCTAGTGAATATGTACAGCTACTAATTTATAAATGGCGGTAGTATCTTGGACGGTCAAGCCTCTGGTCGCAACAGGTTCGGAGTCGCTGCTCCAAGCTTTGCCAACGACACATACTTAACCTGTATCGAAGTATAGGTTTTTGAATTAGCTTAGGCCAGCCTTTCATCAGACGGAACGCTGACGAAGGAGCTCAAAACCTTCTTGCTTCTAAGCAAGTTTGTCTTTGTAGTTTCTATTACGAATTTGTGACATTCATTAAGTGACAACCAATTTTGTTCAACGAGCTTCATTCGTACACTTTTCGGAACGTTTTTTCGAAGTTGTGCATGCTTGCTTGATAAAGTCTGAACACAAAATTCTATCCGTAGGTATTTCATTGTATCCGCAGTACCGGGAGTATTGGCCTTTTCGAGATTCCGAGTGAACGTACATAAACTTTGTAGCCTGCTTCATTAGTAGTGTTTACTTTACTTGACAACTACATTCATCTAAATCTTCCAACTGAAATAGTGTTCGTGCTTTTATTAGAGATTCCCTTGTAAATTGAGCTAATGCTAAGATCTCAGCCAGATGAACACATCGTGCGTTTCTGGTGACGGGGGCAGACGAAGAGAAGACGCGATGCGTGGACGGAGTGGCACTCTTTTCACTTTGTGATACGACTAAGTACGGATTGTAAATGTAGAGAGTGGTGAGGTTACCCTCAACACTTAACGGTGTTGGCCGGCTCACTTGCTGGTCGAATAATCCGATGTAACCATATCTATGCTTCTATGCTGACGGTAAAGCGATATAATCAAACAAGGAATAAACAACTGCGAGACTGAGTGATTCTTCGAGAATACGTTGTAATACAGTATACGATGTCATGCAGTTAGAGACAAATATGGACGGCGTCTGTTGTCGTTTATATGAAATGCGCTGATATCACGTTGATCGGCTAACGACAAATAGCAAAGCGTGCATTTCTCTCACTCAGCACGATTTGTACATGAAACAATGGCTGCTTAATAATAGCGGGTGTTTAGTAACACTTCGTTTGCATCGTATTCTACAAATTAACAAATAATACATACAACAATTGCCTTCATCAGGGCCTATATTGAATAAACCTAGAAGCAGTGTTTGTTAAATGTGTAAGTAAAACGAGCGCCTTCCAAAAAAGGCTATAAAAGTTTACATAGATATCACTTGATCCGTCCATTGTACTTGTGGAGTGAGGTGTCTTAGGGCTAGTAGTTCAGCGTATGTTAGACGTTTAGAATTTTTTGAAGACCTATTTAATGTTCTAATATTTAAAAAACCTCTGCAAGCTTAGATAAGCTTGCAAAGGTTTTTTAAGATAAGCTAAGGTTAGCTACTGAAATACATGACAGTCACTAAATTTACATAGATAATGACAAACAGAATTTATGATCTTTCTTACTTCTTCGTAATATTCTCCACTCTTTGCGGGAAGTTCTTCACCAAGCGAAGTTTTGTTAAGAGACCTTGTCGGTTTTGCATCACCTGCTTCAGAGCATCTACGTTCGAATGAATCATCTGAGCATCGTCGATGGCCACCTGCATCTGTTGAAGGAAATCGTCTGCTTCACGTAGGGCTCCTTCTTCCTGGGTCAACTCGCTAATACGGCTATCAACAGTTATTCGAATTTCGTTGAGGCGCTGATTCAGTTCCTGCAGACCACGGTGCGTGGTCACTTGCAGTCGAGATTCGATCTTTCGTAGCACTGCCAGAATCAGAAGTCGAAGACTTCGAAACCGTTCAGGATCGTTTTCAGTGATAACGTTTGTGGCCACCACTAATAGGTTGTTGAGAATGTCGTGCTGGGCTTCGAAGATTAGAATTTGGATATTCGCCTCGAGTACAGATGGACAGGGCCTTTCTTCCTGTAATGCTCTACTAGTAGAATCGTTCACTGCATCGAGAACCGTAGCTATACGGTGGCTGGTTGTGTTTGTGGCCACCTCTTCGTAATGTTGGCTGAAAAATGTCACAGCACTTAATGCGGTTAAATAGAGGAAGACGAAAAAGACCATTTCTTTATGTTTATTTTGAACTGATCGCAGACATATTGTGCATGAAAACTTACTTCCAGTTGTCTATTGCTTGCAATCCACAGGGTATATCGTAGGATGGACTTTGCCTATCTCGGACGTCCTTTAAAAGGTGTTCTCGGAGATTTCTGAAGGCACCAGCAGGAAGCTCTTTAGTCGAATCAATTATTTCGTCTCCGAATTTGTCCAGTTCGCTAGCCACCCTGTGTAACATATCTGAAAAGTAATAACATTCCCAGTAATCCACTAAAATAAATCATTGTCTTTATTGACGCGCAATTTTTGAAAAGCTAAAAAAGCACCAGCGTTTGGATATTTCGATGCCACAAAATATTTATGGAACTACGTTAGGACACACGTAGATCAACAGCTTACTATCTACTTTGTCTAAAGCTAGAAAAAGCAAGTCTTGCTCTTGAATTGAACCCGTCGTTATTTTTTCTAAAAGAAAACTACAACCGCTTGAGCTTACCTGTTTGCCTCGATTTAAGTTTACCCGCGAGATCTTTAACATCGGACGTACGGCCGTTGACGTTAATCACATCCAAGATAGTGTTCGCCTCAAGCAAGGGTTGGATAGTATTATTTTCTTCGAATTGTTCTTGAAGCTTTTGAGCACGCTTCAGCTGCTCAACGATGTCTCTTTCGCTGGATTCTTTGACCTGTTGCCGGAATTGGTTTCTAAGGGTTTTTCGCGTTTCTATGCGGCATTTTCTTAGTTCGCACAGTCTGTTATAAAGAGCTTGCAGTATTTCCTCTACGAGTACAGTGCCCGTTGGGAGCTCGCGTATCCAGAGGGCGAACCGTTGTTCGTCCAGAGATGTGACTTCTCCCGGGATCACATCCTGTGCAACCTGCCATATGTCAACGTAAATTCGTTGTGCATTACGTAGACGCAAGATGTTATCGTCCGCAAGCTGGACACCTTCAATGCAGCGTGCGATGGCCTGCGATAGGTCGAGCTCACTTTTGGAAGCCGACTGCTGAAGTTTGTATAAGGAGGTTTTCAGGGAGTGCCGAAGTGATGATAAATAATCAATCGCTGCTTCTAAATTAGCTAGTGTGGCCACCTGCAGTGGGACGTTCTCCACGAATTCACGATCGATCCGAGTGCGCATTAGATTGGCGTAATGACTGAGATTTTTGCTCAGTTCCGTAGTGTTCTGCGAGATTTGCTGTCAAATGAAGAGTAATTTATACAATTAGCTTAGCATGGCACAATTTTGAATCTAAAGACGGGTGTTATTTCGTAATGTGTAAATCAAGATGTTTATTAATTCCCCACACATCGCTAATTACCTTTGCTGTGAAAGGCCTTTAATTGATTATTTATTGATTTTGTTTTGAGTTACTTATTGATTGGTTTGCTTAATAATAAGAATAAAGGTCTTTGCTTAATAATAAGAATAAAGGTCTACTTCAAGTGCATAGTCACTTTAATGCTGGTTGCCGCTTGAAAGATCGGTTAAATAATAAAGAAATGCAATGTTTATTTAAAAATCCGTTCTATTTCTAAAATATTCTACATATATTTATCTGATTCACTAATATGGTAATATTAGTAAATAACAATAAACTAATACTAGCAATGATGATAATAATTTCGTATCTCTGCACGCTTACCCTGGTAAGTTTTGGCTTTGACCTTCGCGGCTTCGGCGCACGCTGTTCCGTGGCCGCTGCCAACATCTGTAAAGAAGATTCAGTATCATCGAGCATTGCTTGCACTTGCGAATCCTTGGGGAAAAGATGACCCGCCTGTTCTTGTAACAACTGGAACAGAGAACGCAGCTGCGTTTGCTCCTTGACTGCAGCAGAATGGTCAAGCTGCTCGTCAACGCTGCGCTGAAGGAAAATTATCTTCTCCATTAGTAGTCGTAAAAGATGTAGATATTCGACAGAAGAAACCTTATCTGTTGAGGAGCGCTGAAGGAGGCTTTTGGCCAAAGCGCACAGGTTCTGCCAGGGCTCTGCTATTGTCGGCCTTACGATTGGCGCTAGCATGGTTTGGGGGCCCGAGACGCCTTCGGCAGCGTCCGACGTTTCCTGATTAATGCCTGTCATCATATATCGGAGCATCTGTAGCTCTAAATCTCGCGCAGTGTCGTCACCTGATCGATCCAGTGAGTCGAGCTGATGTTGGGCTTGCTCCAACAGGCGAATCACTTCGTCCGCTTGACTTTGCTTCGATGGACAATCGTTGCTTAGTCGTTGAATGAGTAGCATGAGGTCCTGGAGGCGCTGTTTGTATATCTGAAATGAGGATGGAGCTCGCAGCAGGGATACGTCCAGATTAAGTATCTGCCGAGCGACCTCCAGTACGTCATCTAGATTCTTGTTTTTGGCAGCGAGATCTTGATTCTCACTGAGCGTATCGGATGTTTCAACCTCAACCAGCTCAGCTGAACCTGGTGCAGAGCTTACGCTGTGCTCGGGAAGCTCTTCCGTCGGCTCACCTAGTATTGGTAACATGAACAAACAGCAATTTATCCTAGGACGTGCCTGTCTAATGTGAGAGATGTTCCATGTTATCAGTCCTATCTACAAAAAGGCGTACGCTCTATGTGGGCTCAAAATGCTGAGCTGTGATCGAAACTTGGTGTAATCGTGTTAAAAGATAACCATTTTAAAAGCTTCTATGTTTTCCCTCGTGCGCTAATCTTTACATGCTTTAATTTTAAGGACCTCCCAGAAAAATGATCTACACTCTTGTTTAAACATAGGTATTACATATTAAATTTAAACTGACCTGGAAGCGACCCTAGAGAGTCTTTGTTGGTTTCGCTAAATTCGTCCCACGTAGCGTCCTGACTTGTATTGGCTTTACTAGAGGAGTCCGTGAGCGGCATGATATCACTTAAAGGTGTTGGAGTAGCAGTTTCTTCAGAAGATCTAACGAGTCGTCGTTTTGCTTTGCGAATCTTGCGTCCACCGAATCCTTCGCTTGTCGGTGACTCGATGAATAGTTCTGGGGCTTCAACGAGTCCCGGAATAGCGTCGATGCTGGTGTCTCCTTCAGCGATGATCCGTTCATCCAAAACGGTTTCATCTTTTGGAATCGTTTCGAGATCGTAGGATGTACTTTCGGTATTCACAATAGGAGAGAGATTCCCTTCATCACTCGGTTGGCAAACAATATCGCCGGAAGTAAAGACATCGATAGGTAGCGCAGGCTCGTCTTCTCTTTCTTTTCCTGTAGTGGTTCTTTTCTTTCGACATTTTTTATTTGTGTGTTCACTAGTATCCGCCTTCTGCGCGCCTTCATCCTGAACTAAGCTCATTGCTGCTTTGACTACAGTTACAGGGATGATCTCAGGTTCAGTTGATTCAGTCATTTTTATAAGGGCGGAATCGAGCGACTTGTGCTCCGAATTTAACATCCTACGTGCATTATCTTGAGTTTTTAACTGTACGGTGCATTTGTCCGTGTCGAGCTCTGTCTGATCGGTAAGTGCGTCTGATATGGGATTGCTTGTCTCGTTTGCAGTGTTCTTAGGTATTGATTGAGCGGTGCTCTCGACAGCGTCAGGCACAATTTGATCGGCAAGCGCTTCAACCATCGATTCTAAGTCTCCAAGTATTGCTGGCGGCTGAAGATCATTAGAACCTCCTTGACTATCGACTGGAGTTGCTTTTTCTGAAGACTTTTTCGAAAGAACAGGTTTTGGTTGTCGACCGTCCTCGGCACTTTTTTTCTTCTTTCTACCTTTTTTCTCTTTGCCGTCCTTTCTCTCGCCATCAGATTCAGCACTGGCCGCGGCAGTTTTTACGACCGTTTTCTCGGACGATAACGCGGCGTCATCCGTATCGAGAAGAGAACAACCTTCATACTCCGTCACCTGCGAAAGGTCCTCATGGTCATGTGTGATCGTATCAGAATCGGTAAGCGCATCAAGTACGTTAATGGAGTCATCGGCTGGCACGGCTGTGGTAGGCGCAACGGCGTGGTCTGGCGTTGTTTCTTTCGAAGCTTCAGGTACTGTTTCGAGATGTGGGCTTTCCACAGTTTTTGCTCGCCGGGGCTTGTTATCTACGGCCACGGCGGCAAACGGATCATCCATTATCAATGCGAGCGGCTCGTTGCCAGAAATTATTTCAGGCTTCTCTAGATCATCGGGCATCATTTCCCACCAATTTTTGCTAGCAGCGGGATTACTGCCAACGTTTGCATTATCTAAATCAGTGCGTGTGAAAACTGTTTGTGGTGTACCTGACTCATGATTGTGTGCTGTTATAAAAGTCACGGGCTTCCCCGTGACTCTCTTTGTGTCACTCTGTATGTCGCCTTGTATGTTTACCTGCTCAGCGTTAGGGACCTGTTTTCGAGACGAGATGGTCTCAGGAATAAGTTCGGGCTCAATAGAAGCAGGTGGCATATTCTTTCTCCCGTTCGGTACCATTTCGGTAGCATCCTTTGGCTTTTTAGATTTCTTCTTTTTGTTTTCTTCCTTGTCGGTGGGTACGGTAGTCGTATATAGAGGCAAGACATCTTCAGACTTGGCGATCTGCCTACTATCCTCAACTCTCTCCTGAGGTACGGTATTCGATTGCTTCGGTGAGTCTGCCTGAAATTCGGTAGCAATAGGCTGTTGAATCATATCGAAGCCAGATTGGTCCAGCTCTGCGCAGTCTGTTTTCATAACTGAGCCTTCTTGTGCATCGTGTATTAAGTCACCGCTGCTGACTTTCTGCTGATCGCCGCATGCGGTACCCAACAGTTCGCTCTCTTTCGGCTCTACAAGAATTGGCCATTGTTCATCTAGAACGCGACCCCATACGTTTTTTGGTGAAATCGAGGCTGTACCTATGAAAGAGTTCCTGGGGGTTGGCGGGACAGCATCAATGTGGTCGGGAGACGGCTGTTGCAGCACTTTAGGTACCGGTGATGGGAGCGTGGTGAGAATATCGTCCCAACATTGCGAAGGCAATCCATGGGTTATATCAACATTTTGAGATACTTCTTTTGGGCACTTTATGTTAGGAGGGGGCTCTAACTGGAATACAGTAGCATCGTCTGTTCTTTGAGCTGATGTAGAACCCTCATTCCTTTCACGCGGTTCAGGGCTGTCTTTGAAAAAGGCTTTCCATGCATCATTTACGTCAGGATCCATTGCAAGAAAATCTTGTGGAGCTCCAATCATTGATTTAACACTGCTGCCCGAAATTTGACGAATTCTTCTAGTGTCTTGAATTCGTTCCTCAGATACGCTGGGTGCATCAGTAGCTTGTCCAAAGAATTCATCCCAGGCGTCAGACACGGAGGGAGATCCCACTAAGAGTGGGGTATTTACATGCCGTTGTACTTCACCCGAAGTATCGACAGATTTAGCTGGTTGCTCCTCCGGTGTCGATGCAGGACTTAAGTACTGGCTCCATTCAGAGTCAATTGTTTTGTCCTTCAAAAGGGCAGCCTCTGCCGGCATATCCTCGGCGGTTAAATTAAATGTGAATGGAATCGCGACTGTCAGAGGAGTGAGAGCCTCCGTACGGGTGCTGCAAGGCTTTGTAGCCTGATACCGTTTAAAAGCCTTTTGGATTATGCGTGCAGCTTTCTCCTCCTCAGTCTCATTCAGTGTGCTTGCATTTTCTTGAAAACATCTTGTGCTGTCTTCGCTACTTTGGGCTAGCTTACAATTACCGTCGCCAGTTGCCTGTATCAAATCTTCTACGATAGAACGCTCCGTAGCCTCTAGCTCTTGAATTGAACCCGCAGGGACTGTAGACACCGAGAAGTCATCCACTTGAGGAGACTGGTTTATCTGTTTAGCTTTTAGGTCTGATACGGACAATAAATTTTTTTCTTCCCTTGATTTTTTCCTTCTATCCTTTGGTTCTGAGTCTTCTTTTGCGTTACTGTCTTGTACCAAAGGGGAAGCAAGCTGGAATTGCTTTTTATCCAACTCTTCAGGATCAGCTTCCTCAGTGAGAGGAGAACCTTTGTCGACCAAGCTAGGACCGTCCGTTTGAACAACCGTCCGCGTTTTATGTTTGCGGGATGCCTTCTGAATCTTACGCGCGACAGCATTTTCCTTTTGCCAGTTTTGCATGCTAACAGACGGTTGATCATGTTGCGTCTTAGAGGGACCCTCCTGATGCTTTCGGGATGCAAATCGCCGATAGGCCTTTTGAATCTTACGAGCCGCTGCTTCCTCTTCTACTGCGCCATTTGTAGTTACAGGAAGTGCGAGAGCTGGCTTGCGGTTGCCCTTTTGCTTCCTGTATTTTTTATATGCTCTTTGAATCGTTCTGGCGGCAAATTCATTTTGTTTCTCTTGAATGGAATCGTCCTGTGTAGAAGCACCCATATCAACAGGTGGCTCTACTTTGTTGTAATACCTTCTATATGCTCGTTGTATCTTTTTCGCAGCCTCTTCTTCATTTGATCTCTTCTTAAGTTCTGCATCATGGTCTTTTCTTGTTTTAAAGTTTTTAAAGGCTTTCTGGATCTTTCGAGCAGCCTTATGCATCTCCTGAAGAGCGGAGTCAGAAAAGTAATCCGCACCATCAACGTGTTCTTTCGGCGTCGCAAGGGGTGACTGGCTCTTGCGCGTTCTATAGTGCCTATAAGCCTTCTGGATGGTTTTGGCAGCTTTTTGGACGTCGTCCAAACCAGGCTCAGGCGTCAGGCCCCTTGTTGCTTCCATTGCTGAAGGTAGGAAGAAATCATGATTGAAGGTAGTGCTTCGCCACACGAGTTCCTTTGTTTCGGTAGTGTTTATAGCAGATATCTCAACCTGCGGGATAGCTGGAAGGATAAGATCCCCTTCAAATTGGACGAACTCAGCGCCTTCGTAGGCTGTCGATTCAACAAGCATGTGGTTTGTTGGCATAGTTACCGCCGGTTTTTGACAAGCTTCATGAGCTGTTGAGCCTGAGCCATACGCTTCGTTGTCGTGTGGAATGCTTTCAACGTTTGCCAACAGATCTTCCGTTGTCTCAAAGATCTTAGTGTAAGCAGCCATTTCACGATTTTCTTCCCTAGGCTCATCACGCCCGGCTACAGCTGATTTTTTTGGTGTAACCTCTGTTATTGAAGTTCCCGCTTCCTGTGTAATTACGGCTGTACTATCTACATTATATGTTGACAGTTTGTCATCATCAAGAGAACGCGCTTCCTCTAGAGGCACCTGCTGATTCACGCTGGGTACGACATCGACTAAATTGTCTGAAGAAGGTTGAAAGAAATCGCTAGCTGGATGAGGTTTCTTCCTTGACTTGTTCATTTTTTTCTTTCCACATTTATCTTTATCATCCCTAAAGTACGCAGCGTGTCTTTCTATACCTGAAGCCTGCTGCTGTATAGTCTGCGTTTCAGGCACCACAGGCTGTTGTACTTGGTATTTATCAATTCTATGCTGCATTGAGATGCATTGGTCGATCTGAGGATCTTCGACATCACCTGCGTCAAAACCTGGAGCTGCTTGCGATTCTTCCAGCAGTGGAACAGAATTGAGGTTGTTAGTACCCTCATCAATTGGCGTATCCTTAACAGAAGCAAACATGACAGCTTGTTCGATTACGGGCTCAATATTTGAGGTTGTAACGTTAATATCATCGTACCCCTTTCCATCACTTATGAACTCCTCAACCAACGCAATCTCTTCTCCTATTTTTCCAGGATTTTGTTGAACGCTGGGAATGCTCCTTTCAGCAGTGTCCTGCACATGTGTTACAGTTTCCAATGGAAAAGTGTTAAGATATTCAGTCGTTTTTGTAGTTCCCTCTGTTTTAATCTCCGTGACATCTCCTTCTAAGGAAGATTCAGCTGTGACAGAAATTAACTCCTTCGTGTGATCTACATGCGATGAACACTCCACAACGTGCTTGGGTTGCCTATCGAAAAATTTGCAAGACATGTCCAAGATGTCTTCAGTTGGCTGCAGTATGTCACCATCTGCACCTGTGAAAACCTCTGGATTAACTGCAACGGAGCTATACTCCTTATCTATTTTATGGTGGCACTTGTCAGTATCTCCTTCTGGCCTATGCTGAATAGTTGGGCCCTTGGTACCCGGGGAAATCTGTAACTGTTTCTCCGCACCAAGTATGTGAAATTCAGTGGGGTGCACGCCTTGCCAATCTGGATATGTGTTATCTTCAAAAGCACCGCCACTAATAACTTCTGGTGCTTTATCTTTGTCATTCTGAAGTAGTTTCTTAGAGGAACCGTCAAACTTCTCAGGAACTTGTGACACCGCGTCCGATACGTTTGCCATATTTTGAGATGGTGGTAATGAAGAGGTAAATGCAGTCGGGCTACGCCCTCCAGTTAGTATGCCTACGGGCTGATCGATAGCAAGAGCACCGGTGATCTTCTCTGTATCGGAAACCTTTTGTTCTTCGCTCATATGAAGCTGGGGTGGAGCTATCTCTGCTTTAACTGGATTCTCCGTATACTCCTCTGTACTGATGCTCCTATTACTATTAGTGACTGGCGTTGCTTTCTCGTTCTTTTTAGATTTCTTTTTTCTTTTATCTCTTTTTTCTTCTCGAAGATCTTTCTTGGCCCCGATGTCATTTTCAGGGTCTTCGATACCGTCGTGTGTGGGCTTGTGAGGGACGCTGTCCTTAGATAGTAGGGGATTTTCCATGACTAGTTCTATACTTCCGATGTTCTTTCCGGTAGTAGTTTCGGATGTTGCTTCGTTGTGAGTAACTTTACTAGCCTCTTTTTTAGACAGTATATTTGTCTCAGCATTGGCCACTGCTTCTTCCTTGTGTTGAGTGCCACTATCCGCAGATTCGACCGAGTCCCTAACTTTTGAAGTGTTTTCGCCAGTTTTGGGTAGCTCACCTATACTTTGAAATACGGCACCGAACTCATTTTGAAAGTCACGAGGCTCATCCAAGGTGCTAGCCACGGTAGTGCTGTGTTCTGCAATTGTAATACCGACATGATTGGCAGTGTCGAAGGCACCGGCGGGATCGACTTTGCTAACAGTTTGTGCGTGCAGAAGTAGTTCTTGATCTGACTCTGTTGATCGTTTTTCCCACGAGGTCGGCGCGTCCTCATTTGCGTGCTTGACCGCATCAATTGCACGTACGGTTTGTCCTTCAGTTACTCCTCTTAGTAATTCGCGATCAAGTGAACGTCGTTTCCAAGGCGCTGACACATCTTTGTCTGTGAACTTGTCTAAGTTAGTTGCGCCGACTATTTGCTCTTCGCCTACATGTGAAACTAACTCAGTGTCTGTGGCCTTCTCCTTCCCGTATGCAGACACTTCTTCAAGCGGATAATCTTCTATTTTTACTTCGCTGATTTTTTCCTCTTCAATTATATGGGGCACTGATTCAATATCTGTCAATTGGTCTTTGCAAGATGTGTACACAGCTGTTTCAGTTCCACTGATGCTTTGGTCTTCTGTTGGAGTCAAAACTAGATGCTGGACAGTGGACCATTTATCATAGGATGTTGACTTTCCCTCATACATATGCTTAGTTGCGCCAATTTTTTGTTCTTCGCCGGCACATGGAGTTCTTTCAGTATTAATCGACAATTCTTCCCAAACTACAGGTGTGTCTTCATATGCGCGTGTGGCTCTGTTAACGCCAGTAACAGCTCGCTCTTTTCTCACATGTACGGGTGGTCCAAGGTTCACTGACCGTTCTTCACAGTATGCGGGAACATCGTCTTGTGTACGTTTCGCTGAATTTTTTTCTTCATTATCGTTCGGTGATATGTTTTTGATCCTCGATTTCTTGTTATCTTTTTTCCTTGTTTCCTCACTGATACTGTGATCACTAAGTGATACTTCGGCGATATCGCTTATAAATAGTTGACTTTGACTGCGTCCAACTTGTCTCTCAGGAGACTCAGCAACGTGTTTCTTTTTGCCCACTGGCGTGTGTTTTTCCCTGCCCTTTGTATCTCTTTTTTGGACCTCCTTGTCAGTTTCTTCGGGCGTAGCAAGTTTAAGGGCTTGTTCCTCGACAGCCGTACTTACTTTTTGGGATATTGTGTCAGAGAGAATTTCAGAGCTACTCTGGGTTGGTTGTACTGGATGGAATTGAGCAATACTGGATTGTATGACGGATTGTTCTGACTGTTCCGAAATAACTCTGGAAGCAGGTAAGTTAGGAACAGTGTCACTAGATACCTTATCAGCGAACTTTGAGGCCTTCTGCCCATCATTTGCTTCAAGTTCCTTACACTTTTCGGCATTCTCCTTGCTTGGTTTATCTGTATCTTTGTTGGCATCAAAGTTACTCAAAAACTCTTCAAAGACATTAAATCCTTGCACCTTCTCGTGTACCGCTGATGTTAAATCCATTTGATCCTTTGCGAGCATTTCTTTTGCAGTTTTTTTAGAAACACGCTCGGGGACAACTGCAGCGATAAATTCTTTAGTTGTTGCCTTATTTTGAATGTCTCGTGTATCAACATGCGCGCTTATAGGCTTCACTTCATCATTTTCAGCGCATGCCTCGGTAAACTGGTCGGATGCCAACATAGGTTCAAGCTCTTCTTCCGTTGGTTCAAACGAAAAGTCGGTGGCACTTTGTTCAAAACGCCATTTATCCTTATCCGCAACGGGTGTAGTACCTAGTTTCGACGAGGTTATATTAGTATCATAATCGCTAACAATTTCTTGCGAAAGTGCGATTGTCTGTTGTTTTTCCAATGCCTCTAATTGAACCTTCGGCCTTTTTTCAGATGGCTCACTACCTGTAAAAGGAAAAATATCTGAAGCTTCCTCTTTGACAAATAGTGATTCTTCTCCATCCACTTTGGCTGTAGGCAATCCGGGTTCGGTGCTTGTCTTGTCCTTTTGTTCGTTACTACTCTCATGACCTGAAGACTGAAATTCAGTAGGTTGCTGCTTTGTTATACTCGGAAAAACCGCTGACTCAATATCTAGCTTCCTTGTGTTTTCGTCTTGGACATGAAGTGCTGCTTCCTCAGTGTAAGTTTGTCTCTGTTCTGACAGGCTTTCATGTGCCCGTTCTTCAGTGGTTTGAAAAAACATTTGGGCATCTTCAAACTGCTCAGTCACAGCTTTGGCGTAAAAAGGCCTTGCATCCTTCGCATTAATTGATTCTTCAGTTAGCGTTTGGGTACTAGTTAAGAATTCATTAATGTCCCAATTCTCCTCTCTGGAAACATCCGATAGATTGGCTTCAATACATGGGCTAACTATACTTTCCGGTGTACCTGTTGGTTGTATAGATTTTTTGGCAGCCGTGTAAAGTAGTTCTCTATTAACAGGTGAGCTGACATATTCTGATTTGTCCTCGGTAGGTCCCGATATCAGAACGTTGATAATGTCCTTATCGGGCGAAGTTTTATCTATTACTGATTGTAGTACATCAGAAAGTTGTTGCTCTGACGCTGTAGAAAGCATTTTATCATCTTGGATGTTGTCAGGCAGCCGAATCTGAGATGTATCTGACTTCTCTGACGGCACTTGCTCTGTCGCAACAACGTCGACACCAGTCTCTACGATTGCGGAAATTTCATCCTTCGTCTCTTTATGAAGGAGAATGTCGATGTCCACATCGTTAACAGGCTGTTCTACTGTCGGTGTAGCAGGAATATCTTTTTTAGAGAAAATAGATTGAATTTTCTTTCCTGTTGTCTTATCTTGTTCATCGATAGACGCAGGCTGTTTGTCAGCAGAAAGAAGGCGCGGTTGGTTGATAGGCTGGATTTCTTCTTCGACCCTGCACCGTCCGTCATCATCCCCCGGGGCTTTATTTCCTTCGGTCTTTTCCTTTTTATGTGTCCTGACACTCTCAAGGCTGTATGACTGAAGCCCAGAAGGTTCCGTTTGCCCTGCTGTGGTCAAGTTAACCACTGCCTCGGCTAATTTCGTTTCAGTCTCGACTGTGCTACATAGTAAAGGCTCGGTAACTTTTTCTTCCAAATCTCCTGTCTGCGAAAGCTGTAATGTTTCACTGAATAATAAGTTCTCGTCCTCTATTAGCAAGCCGGTTTCCGCTTCAGTAACTGGAGGGTACATTGCCACCGTTTTTTCGGAAATCGGCATTTCCATTGTTTTCGAACTCTCTGGTGGCTTAGAACTTTCTGTTATAAAGTCTGTGCCTCTGGCTAAGGTCTCAGTATGGATTTTCTTCTTAGTCTTCTTGGACTTCTTCTTACCAGTTTTGCCAACAGTTTTAGGAGTGTCTTTAGCAGATTCGGCACACGTTTCATGTATGGCTGATTGTTGTACTTGACTGAGTGCTGCGAAGTGTGGAACTGGCTGTTCTAATTGAGCTCTCGACAAATCAGGAACATTTGTTACGGTTTCAGCTGAATCCAAACCTGTCATTACGGTTTTACTTGCTTCAAAGGTCTGACCAACTTCTGTAGTCGTCTTGACTGTGGTATTTAATAGGTAAGAATTATCATTTACGCTGGACGCGGGACAAATCTCTTTACCGTCTTGATCGTGAAGTTCAGAAACAAACTGATTATGTTGTTCTTCAGTAAATATTTCTGCTGTTTCACAAGCGATTTTCCTGGCTGGTTGGAGTTCGGCAGGATCACTATAAACCGCTTCGGCCTGCTTAACTAGAGAAGCGGGATCCGATCTCTTTTCATCCCGTTTGCACTTGAATTTCTTGGACTTTTTGGAAGACTTATCGGCATTGTCAGTGGGCATCGGTAGAACTTGACCGTTGTCAGGCTGTTGTTGTTGGTCTGCTGGAAGCTGACTTATTATTGTCAAGTCGAACTCGCTCGTAAATGGTTGCTTACTCGTTGTGTCACAGAGAGCCACTTCCACCGACATATCCGTTGACTTATTAGTGTTGTTCCTTACGTACTTGTCGTCAATCACCGACAATGGGGTAGTTGAACTCACGTTGGACGCTTGTTGGACAGGCTCGTTTATCAAGCTATATGCTTCAGCGGTTTTTGTCACCCTATGACTGCTATTTAGCAATGTAGGTTCTAAACTTGTCGTGGCAGGCTCCGCAACCCATCCGGCAATAGCCTCGAGCGGGTCTCGAGTGCGTTGCCTAGACCGTTTCTGTTTGCGCTTTTTCTTTAACTCCTCAGAAATAGGAAAGCTTTCAAATGCGGATGTGGTGTCTTCCTCTGACAAAATATTGTCAGCCTCGCGTTGTTGTTTCTTTTTCTTCCTATTTCGTTTTTGGATGGCAGCGTCTTGCTGCAGACCGCCATCAAGTTCGGTGTCCTTTTCCGAAGACCTTCGAGAAAATTCCGTTGGTGGCGAAGCTGAAAGCTCATCTATAGAATCTCTGTGGATGACTACAGTAATCCCACCGGACAGAGCGGTTTGGGTTGGAGCACCGAAGGACTCCCACGTTCCTAAAGAGCCTCCCGTCTCCAAAGGACCTGTGCTGATGGTAACTGATGTGTTTAAAGGTTGTGTCTCGGCGTGAGTGTAGTCGTGTATATGTGCTGTGTCCTGTGTGCTATATATTGCCGGTGAATGTGGGGCACATTCTGCTATCAGTTGACCCTGTTGGTCATTCACAAACACTGGTTTATCCTCCGTTACTGTCTGATTGTAAGTCTGAGAAGCGTATCCTGGCTCCCGCATGGGAGTAACCCCCCTGGACGGCCTGGGGCTGGCAAAAACTCGACCTGCGCACACGTCGGCATACGAAGGTAACTCTGACGTATCATACTGTTGGGGTGCATTTACTTTTATCTGCTCTACAAAATGGGTCGGCGATGGTAAATTTTCCTCCATATGACTACCTGGTGGCTTGACTGCAGAAGTCTGCGGAGACAGATTCCCAATCCCTGGGGAAGACACATCTTGAAGAGGAGAATGTGTTGACTGTATGTCATAAGTATTTTCGGGGTAATTCTGTGTGGATTCGTCAGCAGGATAGTAGCCGTACAATTCACTGGCCCAAAGACCCGTGTTGTCGGTTACATATTGTACGGCCACCTCCGAACAACGGCGTCCAAGGCTAAAAAGAGACGTGCTACCTCGAGAATAACTGGAAAAATTTGGATCGTAAGGTTCAAGCTTGGAAAAGATATCACCTGACTTCGCTGAATTGTCCTGCGGTTGCTGCCGTTCAGCTGGAGGAAGCAATTGCTTAGCTGGACTTTGCTCACGAGGAGTAACTAAACGACTCGCTTTACCTGAGACAACATCTGCGTATGTTGCGAACCGAGGATGTAACGACCAGGATGATGGTGGAGCTCGGAGAGAGGACGTCTGAGATAACGGAGCATCTTCCTTAGTATCTTTAAGAAGTTGCCTCGTCACCTCTCGAACAAACCTCTCCTCTTGAGAGAATGTTTGCTGGAATTCTGGAAAAACCAAACGCTTCTTTTGAACTCCTCGGTTAGCGTATTTCGTCCCCTTAGAACTGTCTTTAACCAAGTGGAATTCTGCATCGTTAGTAGCCTCTGTTTTATCAGCGCGTGATGTTTCGATTGGCAAAGATGTCGAGCGAATGCTACGATCATTGTTACGAGATGAGCCTGGAGAAACATTGTGGATCATAAGAGACTTATTAGACAAAGTAGAGGTTTTGGTTGTTAAAGATTTATCTACAGACGGAGAAAGGATCGGTTTCGAAGCCGCTTCTTTTTTCTTTCGATTTTTCGATTTTTTTCTGTCTAGCTTCTGAAATGGTTCATCGGTGCTGACTAGTTTCTCAGTTGACGAATCGTCGTGAATACTCTCAATTGTAATTTGAGGATCTTCGTGGCTGGATTCGATCTCGACTGCGGTCGGAGAATAGATCGGTTCTGTATTAACAGTGTTTCTGTTATCTGTATCCTGAGCTTGCTTGGGCTCCTTTTCGGTTAATGAAGTGCTTGCGCGTTTGTCTTGTTCTTCAGGCCGGGATAGAGGCCACTCCGCGACAGTCAAAGGAAACCGTGATCCGGCACTTGTGTCTACAACCGTTTTTCTTTTGCTTTTCTTCATTTTCTTTCTTTCAACTTTAACCTCGGATTCACCATCTGGAGGAACAAGGCTTTCCGTATTACTCCTTATAATGGTTTGGTCTTTAGCTACGTTTGTGAAGTCCATTAACCGTTCCGATTCCTCCTTTGTGGACCGGAACATTAGTGAATCAGTAAAATCCGCTTGATCTGCATGGTTAACTGTAAATAACATCGGCGGCATGTCTTCGTGAGTCAGGCCCATTTCGGACTCTTTAGCAAGCGGGCATACGCCCTCGTCATTGGTAGAGGTAACGACAAGCTGTTCTGGCAGACAGTAAGCTTCAGACAGCCCCTTAAGCTCTTGTGGCAGTACGCCAGCGTACTCCTGAGGCGGCTGAATATTAGTTATATGCTTTATTTCCTGACTGGTAAGGAATGCGGTTTTCTTCACGTTTTTCCTTTTTTTCTTTTTGTGGACCTTGTCAATACTATCACCAGTATCTTGTGCATCAGTGACAGCCTCAGCCGGATCATTAAGTCCAAGGATCGCAGTTTTTGGGGGCGTATCTAAAGCTTGGAGCTCCTTCTCTTTCCCTTTAGTAGGCTGAACTTCAAACAAAGCAGAAGTGTCATACATTTTTTGACTTTCGTCTACTGGCTTGTTTGTCTTACTACGGTTCGTTGAGATGAACTTATCACCTGTAGGCGAAGCAATTTCAGGATGTTCAGGCTGTCCCTTTACAGGCTGAGGTGTCATTAGGTCTTCGATCTGTTGTGATTCCTCTGTGGAGAACAATTCTGTTACTGGTGTCATGTACTCTGTTAAATCATTTTTACCCTTCTCAGCTGTAGAAAGGTCGGCGACTGTTTGAATAGACTCTGCCTGTTCCTCCGGGGGTCCAGGAGTCATCAAATAAGACTCGCTGTCGACCCTTTGACATTCCTCTACAGAGGACGATGACGCTATGGTTGGGGTAAGTTTTGATACTGAGGTAGAGCATAAGTGTTGGCTCTCACTATTGTTAATCACGATTCCTGCGGCGCACGCAGGAATAAATTCTTTAGCATTTGCTGATAGAACCGTATGGTGTTTCGATTGTTCTGTTTTAGAGTCCAAAACATCACCACTACATCGAAGCTCATCTTGAAAAGTTGCCATTGTCTCATCAATCATGGGAGCTGCCTTTTTATCTTTTTTAGACTTTTTCTTTCTAGCTTTATCAATACCTTCGCTGGGGTGATGGTCACTGACTGTAGGTTCTATCAATTCAATGTACGTCTGAGCGACGTCGGACCGTTCGGAATACGCTTTTGCAACTTGGGGAGGCGCCATATTAGCGTCAATGCCAGTCACCAGACGTTTGCCCAGTATTAAAGGTTCTTTAGTCGGTTCTTCAACCTGTGATTCTGCCTTTTTTTTGCCTTTCTTCGATTTCTTCTTTGTTACTTTTCTGGCTTTTTCTCTTGTATCATTTTCATAGGCGGCTCCATTAAAACAAATGGGATCATCTTGCTCTTCAGTAGTCAGAGAAATCGCTACGGATATCCGGTCCAGCTCCTTGTCAGATAAAGGTATTATTGGCTGGAAGTCCTCTCCAATTACGGGTACCTCGTCACCCTCAATCGCACAAATAGTTTTGCCTTCAGTAGTGTTCTTGGCAGTTTCTGTGGATGTAAGTTTGTCTGACTGTCTTTGGAGAGTTTCGGGGTGTTCGAACTGTGTTCCTGCAGGCTGAGGTGTCATCCTGCCAGAAACATCAAGTGCTTGCGGTTTCTCAAGAGTTAATGGGACACCTTTCCCTTCGTTGGTAATTTGTGCTGGCTTTTCTTTATCTTTCTTAGACTTACGTTTCTTAGCCTTGTCGTCTTTATTTGTCACACTACGATCATTAGCGGTATCAAGCTCTAGAGTGATAACAGGGCTAATATTTGCCGATGGATCGACTAGAGAGTCCGTAATCTGAATTCTATCTGCGATTTCGGGTTCATGTCTACCTTCCATCACCGTGTAATCGGCTCTCAGTTTACTAACATCAGTTAAAATAGCCATCTCATCCGCTAATTGTGGAGGTTGAACATAATCGGGTTGTTTACTTGAAAGCTGAGTCGTCGTTCGGTCAAAGACATCTTCACTTATCTGAACTTCTCCTTCATGAACTTCTATTTTTGAGGCTGTGACAGTGACTGGGACACCTCCGTCGTTTATTTTTTTTGAGTTAACATCAGTCATGCCTCTAACAGTTTCTGGTGACATGGGCACCTCAATAGATGAAGCAGGGGTTTGCGAATTACCGGGTTGTTTCCTTGACAGCCCAGGTGTCGTCATGTCAAACACATCCTCGATAACATCGGGCTTTTTCGTAAGTGACTGTAAAGCACTTTTATCAGCTCTGACAGCCCTCCTGTTATCCTTCTTTGGCTTTTTCTTTTTAGTTGTATCTTTACTTTCATTGGTGTCAGAATCAATGGAGACACCTTCGTGAGGTGCAACGCCACTGAGGCGCTCCGGAATCTTTGAAGTCACCTCCACGCCTTCACCTTGTCTTGCGGAGCGTGAGTTTGGATTAGACACTGCGTTTGTCACCTGCGCCGCGTCAACAGCTTCGTATTGATCTGTTTCTTGAACAATGGTTACATAGTCGCTTGCAGCCTGAGTAACGTCAGCGGAAATAATTGATTCATCTTCTACTGTTTTGAGCTGAGGACGCTCGAACTGTTCTTTTACAGGAAGTGGTGTTATCAGATCAAAAGTGTCTTCGACAATGGATGACTCGTCTACTACTAAAGGCGCGGCTGTGGCTATAATATCTGACCCTTTATTGAATATATGTGTGTCCTGGGTTATTTTAAAGGTTTTTGGTGAAGTAAATTCTTCGCACGCTTTCGTTGGAAGCTGGCGGCGCTCGGTAGCTCGGCTGAGCTCTCCTGCTGGCTGAGATGTCATCCGCTCAAAATCGTCTTCAAACATCTGAGGTTTCTCGGTATAAGAACGGACCTTCGTTCCTTGGTCAGCAACTAAAACCGGTACCTTTTTATCTTTTTTGGACTTCTTCCCTTCACCTTTGCCAGTGCCCTCGCCAGTTTTCTGCCCCCTGGCGACAGTATCAACTTTAGCATCTGCCGCCTGTGTGCTACCTGCCATTTCAAGTTGATCTTTTCCCCCAATCACACCACAATCAGTTAAAGATTTAGTGCTTTCGGTTGAGAGATTTACTTCCTCGTCTACGGGTAGAATATAAGGATGTTCGTGTTGTTCTCTTGCGAGCCGCGTAGTCATTAATTTATTGACGTCTTCGATATCCTGCATCTCATGCATTGCTTCGGGTGTGCCTGTTTTAGTGGTGACTAATCTTTTTTCAACTGGCGCTCTGTCGTAGGCTATTTTAGCCACCGCCACTGAGGATACCTTTTTGGATGCTTTAGCAAGTACCTCAAGATGTTCGGGTTGTTCCTTTGCTGATTGGGGCGGCATAAGATTCAACTCATGTTCGGCCAGTTGGAGTTTCTCGGCAGACGATGGCATCTTTTCTGCTTGGTCGTCAGCGCGATAAAGTTTATTTTTACTTTTTTCAAACCTCTTTTTACTTTGATCACTGCCTTCGATAATATCTTTGTCACCTGTGACGAAAACGCATGTCATTTGCTTGTCAGCCACAGTTTCTGGTTGATCTTTTCTTTCAATGAAAGCAACATTAGGTAAAGCCTCGGTACCTTCGGTTGAAATTACCTTGTCACCTTCTTGTAGAATCTGAGGATGTTCGGGCTGTTCTGTTGCGGAACCAGGTGTCACTACATCAAAGATATTCTCAGCATTGTGAGACTCTTTCATGGACAGCTGTGTAGCATCTTTAGTAGCTTCTTGTTTTTCATCAGCAGCCTTTTTATTATCTTTCTTCGAATTTTTCTTTCTGGTGTCATGGTCAGCAGGAACATATTCGTGAGATACGAGTTCACTAAGGCTCTCCGGGGTTTTCAAAGTCAGATCCAAACCCTCACGGTGTTTTGTCGAGAATGACATAGCAGCATCGGATACTTCATGTGATACCTGCGCTTTGTCAATAGCTTTGGATTGATCTTTTTCTTGAATAGTGACCGCATGTTCGGTTACAGGTTGAGTAACAGCGGCAGAAATGGTCGATGCATCCTCTGCTGTTTTGATCTGAGGACGCTCCGACTGTTCTTTCTCAGACAACGGCATCATCAAATCAAACACGTCCACGGCCATTTCTAGTTCTTCGACTAACAAGGATTCTGTCGAAAGAGTGACTTCAGAACTTTCTTCAGGTGTATCTTTGGCATCAGCAATTTCACGAAAAACCCTAGAGGTAGATATATCGAGTGCTTCGGAGAACGTCTCAGGGTGCTCCGGTCGCTGTTTTAATGGATAGGATGTCGTTATGTCGAACACGTCTTCGACCAGTGGGCGTTCATCAGCACTAGACAAAACTTTATTTCCTTGTTTAATAGTTACAACTGGCTTCTTTTTATCTTTTCCAGACTTTTTCTTTTTATTAACCTTTTCAGTGTCCTCGCTAACTTCCCGGTCGCTGAGGGTACTCGTGATGACAAGATCTCCTGTACCACCTATGGCTGGTAGGGCTTGAGGATGTTTGGGTTGTGCTCCTAAATGTTCAGGTGACGTTACGCCAAAAACGTCGTCTGTTATTTGAGCGCTTGCTTCATGGGAAGGCACCGTGACATTTAATGGCGCAATAGTGGTTATTACAGTTTTCTCGTAAAAGTCACTTTTGTTGATGTCGGTGACAACTTCCATAGTGTTTGTTGGGGTAAATTCGCTCGCCTGTGGAGGAGGGATTTGGGGATCTCCACGCTGTTCCCCAGCAGGCTGAAATGTTATCGTGTCAACAACATCTTTGATAACTTTGGGCTCCGTTATTGGCAATTGTTGAACATTTTTTGGATCAGCCGGCTTGGTGATTTTTTGTTCATCCCTTTTCGGTTTCTTCTTTTTAATTTTCGCCTTGCCTTTAATAATGTCATGATCAACATCGCTATCCTTGTTAGTGGTGTCATAACTTAAACCCTCAAAGGGTGTGGGACTATCGTCTGAATCTTCAACTTGGTGCATCGAATATAACAAAACCGTTGGGTGGGACATAGCGTCGGTTTCACTTTCAATGACATTAAGGTCGGCATCAAGCTTACTAATATCTGCCATTTTGCTTGCCTCACCCTCTACCAGTACAATCTGATGATCCTCAGGTTGTGTCTCTAAAAGCTGAAGAGTCATCGTGTCGAAAACATCCTCAACAGCCTGCGTAACATCCTTATCACCACCAGTTGTCACGGTATTTTTCTCTTTACTCTTTAGTTTCTTCTTTTCGGTCTTTTCTGTATTTGCACTAGCTTCCTGGTCACCGGAGCTATCGTTTTGAGATAGGACACCACTTACAGAATGTTCCTTCGTATATGGAGACAATACAACACTAGATGCATTATCTGGCTGCATTGCTTCTGCAAGCATAAGCTCATTCGCATCTTCAACGGCCTTGTGGCTAATGGCAGTTCGGGCAGGCTCTATAGGCACCAATTCGCCATCCTCTGCTGTGGGAACTTGTAGGCGTTCGAGCGGCGTCTGAACGGTGTTTTTCTCTATGGCCACTTCAAGAACGCCTGAAGAGGTAATTTTATCTGTTGCACAGGGTGGCATTTTAGGATGCTCTCCTTTCCACTCAATGTGCCTTCCCATTATATCGACATCAATTGCCTGAGCTGCATTGGATGGTAACAAAATCAGTTTCTCCTTGTCGATGGCAGGAGGCATTTTTTTCTTGTCTTTTTCAGATTTATTCTTTTCAATGTCGTCGGTGCCTTCGCTGGCGTCGCGATCACTTGCATTGGCCTGAGCAGCGTCATCTAGCCGCTCAGATATTTTTGTACCGGACCTATCGTCGTGTTCCTTGATAAATGTAGGTAATATTTGTGTACATATACGATCAATTTCCTGAATTTCACCAGTTTCACTAACAGGTGTATATTTCTGGGTTGATAGGACTTTGAAATCGCTTTGTGGTGGAGGAGCGTCAAAATGTTCAGCTTGCTCCGTTAGCTCTCGAGGTGCTGTAAGATCAGAAACGTCACTGATAAAGTCAACTTTTTCGACAGGAAAACATGTGGCTGTGTCAGTCAGCGTAAATTTTGTATTTTCTCTATTTGTATTAGTAGCGGGAATCATCTCGATAGCCCTTGTTGAAATGGTTTCCTTAACTGCAGTAAAAGAAACTTCAGCGTTGTCAAACTGCTCCTCTATTAGAGTTGACCTGTCTTTATTCTTCTTCGATTTTTTCTTTTTCGTTGTTTCAGAATCTTTACTGGTGTTGTGATCGCTCATTACGGCCTCAGTGGTGCTCGTAAGCTCATAGGTAGCTTCAATGTGCTCCGATTTTACGGACGGCTTTTCCGCTGGCTGGAGAAGAACAGCTTTAAGGTGGTTCTCATCATTCTCATGTTCAGCCGCCATCAGACCCATAGTCTCTTTGGCCGGTGTAGATTCTTTTTCCTTTCCTTCCTTAATTCTCTTTTTCTTTTTTATTGTACTGCTGCTGGTGTCATGCCCGCTGAAAGCGTCCAAACCAAAATCAGGTAGCTTTTCACTGGAACTTTCAAGAGCATGCGTTAGCTGCTCGTGTTGCTCTTTTGCAGATGGAAGCGGTGCGAGAAAAACGTCATCTATTGGTTCAGGTTGCTCTAGAAAAACTGATTTATCTTGCTCTTTCACAGCACCAAAATTGACGATTTTTGTGACCTCCGTTGTTGGGGGTCTCTGTTCTTCCGTATAAGCGTCTACCTGGTCTTTAGGTCCTTCGTCAGCGACGAGACACTTTGCTGCGTCAACGTTGACTTGACTCTCATTGAATCCTAACGGTACTTCCGTTGTTTGATCATTAGTTAACACAAGCTTCTTCTTATTTGTTTCGCATTTCTGCTTAGGCTTATCGCTACTTGCACTAACATCATGGTCAGACATAGCGCCGGTACCCGCACTAACCGCTCCCTTTGGCGCAGGTGCTTCACTTTTACTGATGAGAATCTGTGAAGCTTCAGGTTGTGATGATGTTGGGTCGAAGATGTCCTCGATTATTGGACCATCTTTTTTTGGGAACGATACGATGGCCTTTGAGAGGTCGACAATGGTCGGCATACCTTCTTCCGTAGCTTCGTTTGTGTCGATGGCAGCTGCAACTATTGAACTTTCTGTTGGGATGCACTGTTCGTAAAGTGAAGTCAAGGTATGCGGATGTTCCGGCTGTTCGTTTGAATACTGGGGTGTCATACGGTCAAAAACCCCAAAAGTTTGTGACTCATCTACCGCTAACAGCACTGCTTTTGTTTCGTCTGTTGCTTCTGTCGCCCTCTGCATCTCTTTTTCATTTTTTCGCGTTTTGCCTTTGTCACCTTTGGCGCTTATGTTGCGATCACAAGCGATATCCTCATAAAGCTTATCCCTGTCGTGTACTGAAGCTACTTTGGAAATGACTTTTGTTGAAAGTTCGAACACAGCGCCTGATACCTGAGTGTCATCTACAGGTTCGGACTTACTCTTGTTTTCGACAGAGGCATAATTGCTTGCAGTGTTGCTAATGTTTGCGGAAATAATCACGTCATCAGTTGCAGGTAAAATGTAAGGTTGTTTGGGCTGCTCTCCTGCAGGATGCGAGGTCATCATATCGAAGACGTCTTCGATTTCATTTACTTTTTGAGGCGTGGCTGTGACGGAAGTCTTCGATTCCTTTTCGAGTGTCTCACCTGTTATTGAAGAAAATTCTTCGGGCGCTTTAACGAGTATCTTGAGATGTTCAGATTGATTTTTTATTGGGTGGAGTGTTATCAAGTCAAACGCGTCTTTGGTCACTTGGACTCCTTCGGCAGGACATGGCATTTTCTCTTCTTTATCACCAGCTACAACGGGCTTATTCTTATCTTTTTTGGACTTTTTCTTTTTACCACTGTAGGTGTTCTCGGTAATGGCCTGGTCACTGGCGGTCACAACCCTTGTGACTTGAATGCCGGCTACAGCGTCAGCTTGATCTCCTTCTTCGATTAGAGCGAAGTCAGTTAAAACCTTGGCGCTTTTGGTCGAAATAAACTCTTCACCTTCTGCTGGTAGGACCTGAGAATGCTTGGGCTGCTCTCTTGTAAGTGGTGGTGTCATTAAGTCAAGGACATCTTCGCCATCGTCAGGCTCTTTCGTGGAAGAGTGTGTAGCATTTTCAGCATCTACTTGCTTGTCATCAGCAGCACTTTTCTTATCTTTCTTCGAGTTCTTCTTTATAGTTTTATCTACGCTTTCATGGGTGTCATGGTCAACAGAGATATCATCGTGAGATGGGAAGTCACTGCGAATCTCCTGGGCTTTTGAGGCCTCATCCAAAGCTTCAGAGTGTGTTCTTGTCGAAAGCGACTTAGTAGCATCGGATACCTCATCTTCTAACTGCGCCTTGTCAACAGTTTCGGATTGACCTTGTTCCTGAACATTGATGACATAGTCTGTTACAGCTTGAAGAGCATCGACAGAACTAATCGCTTCATCCTCTAATGATACGACTTGAGGACGTTCGGGTTGTTCCGTTGTAGGTTGTGGTCTCGTTGTATCAAAAATATTTTCAGTACTTTGGACTTCGTCTACTGAAGAGGGCGTCGTTATGGAAATAATTTCTTCTGCGATTTCGAGTATCTCTTTATCGCTAAAGGCTCCAAAAACTGCTTCAGAGATGAGGTCTTCGGAAGTTGTAGCAGTTAGCTCGGGCTGTTCAGGGTGCTCTTTTGGTGGCTGGGATATCTTTGAGCTAAACTGGTCTTCGATCAACTGGGGTTCCTTGCTTAAAAGCTGAACATTATCTCCTCGATTAACGGCTAGGACGGGCTTCTTATCGGATTCGTCCTTTTCAACTTTGTCAACACTTCCACTAGTGCCCTGGTCGCTGACAGCAGTTCCACTTACGACCGTATGCTGGTCAGTGGACTGTATGGTCTCAGAAAATGTAGCCTGTCCTTCTAAAGGCGACGGCTCCAAAAATCCGATGATATTCTCAGTTACCAAGTGCTCGTCTACTGCTGGCGGTAAAAGTGGCGTAGCTTCTTCCTTATCTTGCTTGGATCCCTTTTTCCCTATCTTTTCTATAGGAATGCTCGTATCGTGATCACTAAAGGTCTCCAAAATGCCTTCTGGTACGTCAGCGGGTTTGTCAATGGAATCCAATTTCTTTCTTAATAGTTCACTATCATCAGTCCTTTGGCGTCCCTCTTTACGTAAGGGCTCTTCAGTTCTAAACAAATCATCGGTAGTTATTTCGATAGGCTGAAGTGTCGGCACATTGAAGGCGTCACCGGCTACCTGAGACTGAGTCAGAGCCTTCTTTTTGTCTTTTTTGGACTTTTTCTTTTTAGTTTTGTCAACATTCTCCCCTATAGGGTAATCGCTAGTAAGAGAAATACCATCTTGTCCTTGAGACGCTTTAACAGTTATGTCTAGATTATCATCCTGTTTTCTCAAAGGTGGGGATGTTGCCCGGTCGAAGGTTCCACTTATCATGCGACCGTTGTCTGCTGAAGCGAACACTTCCTCCTCCAAGTCAACAATCTCAGGTTGTTCTCTTAGGGGCAAGAACGTCCTCAAATTGAAATTATCATCGACAACCGGAATACTTTCCAATGGAAAAGCTTTGGTCTTTCCAATAGCGTCTGATTCCTGTTTCTCTTCAGTTATCTTAACGGAGCTAACGACTTCAGCATCGTCTGTGTATGCAAGTTCCGGGGACGAAGATCCTGTTGGCTGCGTTTCAGAATCATTTGGCTTTTCGCCAGCATCCAGAGGTGCATCCAGATCAAAAACATCTCTGGCTACTTGAACCGCCTGTAAATGAGATAATACGGTATTTGCGTGAGAAGGAAACTGGACTGCATTTTCCTTATGTTCTTCTAACTTTTTCTTTTTCTGTTTAGCCGCACTTTCACTAGAATTGTAGTTATTAACAATACTCACGCTGATGTACGGTTCTTTGCGAGTGTCTGGAATAGCTTCAAGATGTGCCAATTGTTCAATGGACTGAAGTGTTGCAGAGTCAGTCTCAAACAATGCAGGTTCTAAGTCCGATGGGGCGATTGTTGTTGACCTTCCAATCTGTAAACCTACATCTTTTTTATTTTTCTTCCTTCTTTTTCTCACATTTTTACGTGAACTCTCGCTCGTATCAGGACTACTAACTCGCTGAAGTGAGGTGTCATCTTGCTCCTCAGAGGATTCGGAAATAGCATTCGGCTTATCGGATATGTTCCTGTCCAATAAAGGCGTGGTCAAACTTGATGCATGCGTTGCGTCCACGAGTTTGAGCTTTACTTGATTTTCGGTCGCTTCGTGACCGGGCAATGCCATGTCAACTTCATTCAATGTTCGTTCTTTCTTTTTGTCTTCCTTAGGTCTCTTGTCTGTAGCTTTGGAAATATGCTCCATATAAGCCTGATCACTGACATTTCCACTGACAACAACCTTCAAAGGCTTCTCAACTCCGGCAACCTCCGTATCGGATCCCTTCAAGGCTGTTTCTTCTCTTGCTGCAGTAAACGCTCTTCGATATTCGGGTTGGTCCCTCGGAGAATGAGGTGCCATCAGGTCAGAGATATCCTGCACCTCTTGAGGTGCACTTTCACGAACGTGCAGAGGCTCCTCAATAATCTGCAATGTTCTGTTCTCCCTAACCATCTCAGAATCGATAAATATATCGCCAGCAACTTTTGTAGTAAATTTTTTCTCCGTAGTAGAAAGCAGCTTTATATTTTTAGGTTGCTCTTTTAGCGGCTGGTATGTTGTCATATCAAATACACCTTCGACGACTGGGTTGTCCTTGGCGGAAGAAACCTTGGTCTCCGCGGATTTTTCGACGTCAGTGACTGCCGCTAGGGCCACCGTTGAGGCCACCTCATCTACTTCTGTAGAGAGTGCCTCTCGATGTTCGAATTGTTCACTTAAATATTGAGGTGCCATCATGGGGGAGATATTTTCGTTAGTCTGAGCCGTTTTCATAGAACTCTCAATATTTTCTCCTTGATAGACAGCTGACGGTAGCATTTCAGAGTATGTAGGTTGATTTTCTCCAAGATAATTTCCCGTTGTGTAATCATCGATTACATGACCATCACTTGATGGTAGTGTCTGTTTCTCAGCTGCACGAGCAACTTTTTGCTTTTCCTTTTTCGCCCTTTTCTTTTTATCTCTATTAGAACCTTCACGACCGATAAGGACATCTTCATGTATGCTATCAAGGCTATGGGAATGTAGGGGCCTTTGTTCTTCCACATTGGGTCGAAGCACCGTTGAATCAATGGTTTTTGTGTTTATCGGATCACCAACCGCCGTCAGCGATTCCGTCATCACGTCTTCGGGCTGTTTGGTTTTCTTTATCTCCACGTCTTTCGATTTTCTCTTAGATGACTTCGTCGAACCCTCGCTAATGTCATAACCACTTGAGAGATCATCCTGTTCATCCGAAATGTTTGAAATAATATCACTATGATCCTTGGAAATTTTACCAATATCGTTAGATTCCTTGATATAGGCTCCCGATAATGCAAAGGCTGTAGCATCAAGAACATCGCTCAGTACTTTGTCTTTACTCTCAGCGGTTTCTTGGCTGATGGCAGTCTCCTCCGTGCCCATGGAAACAGCCACTTCATCTCTTAATGAAAAAACTTTGGAACACTCAGATTGTTCTGTTGCAACCTGAGGTGTCGTAAGATTAAATACATCGTATTCTGTATGAACTTCTTCAGTGGTTTCTGATGTTACGGTAGCCTTTGTGAGCAGCGTTTCCTCTTCAGTGATCTCTGATATTGTAGCGGTTTTTGGTATGAACTCATCGTCCTCGGTGTAAGCAGTACCGCAGGTTATTTGGGAAAAATCTGCCGAAGAAAGTGCATCGGATGATGTAGACAATATTCTTATGGGTTTAGGTTGCTTTCGCGAGTCAGTAGGTATTATAAGGCCAAAGCTATCCTCTGACTGAGTTTCTTCAGCATCTGACGCAAACGATGCAGTCGCGCCAACGGCGGTAACTGTTTTAAAAGGCTCCATCGAAGTCAATGTCTCGTTTGCCTTCGGAAAAACTTCGGGGTGTTCCTCCAAGGGTTGGCGTGTCGACATTTCAAAAACGTCCTCGAACGTTTGATACTCATACGCAGAATATTGCACCGGATGTAGTTTCTCGATAGCAGAAGCACCCTTTTCTTGATTTTTCTTAAACGTTTTATTACTTGCCTTCTCCATACTTGAGGTGGTGTTATGGTCCCTCATAGGAGTCTCAATGACATGAGGGATAGATTTTATGGCCTTTTGTTGCGCGAATTGCTGTTCTGAATTTTCCGGTGCAACCATACCACTGACTTTTTCTGTTTCAATTGGGATTGTCACCGGCGATTCATTTGTCAATTCTTCAACTCGTACAGATGCTATTTTCTTTTCTCTCCTTTTTCCTTCTTTTCCCTTTGCTGCCTTGTCGATCTCCAAAGCATCGTGCTGACTAGGAATATCTGGAGAAAATATGGCGTCACTTGGCTCTTTAGCTCTTTTGAAGATTATGCCCTTATCGTCGACGGACTCTTTCTTCTCTGATTCAACCATATCTTGTACACACTCATCCGACATAGAAAAGAGAATTTCGTCATCGGATTGGTCACCTGTAAGTTGGGGTATCATAGAATGCAGAATATCACCTTTTTGCTGTGTCTCATAAGTGGTCAGCAGCTCTTCTGTTGAGTGTGCCATTGCTGGTACGGCTTCCTTCTTGTCTTTCTTGGACTTCCTTTTCTTAGCCGGTTCTAGGCAGGTATCTTGGTCGTTAATTGTATTAAGCCTACTTTCGCTTTCTTTCTCAGGCGTTTTAACAATAAAGGTAGACCCCTCGTCATGAATGTTCGCAGATGGAGATCTTATTAGAGGAGAAACGTCAGTTGTCATCCGAGTGTCGTCTGCGCACAACAATTGGTCTTTAGATTCCACTCTTTCTATCCCTACAATGGTCCTATCCATTGGAATCGACCCCTCGGCGACGGGAACTGGGTAAGACTGCGCGGGTTGTTCCGCTGTCGAATGAAACCTTGTTGTTTTAGTCTTCTCGGTTTTGTCAGTTTCGGAGCTTAGTTCGGTTGTGTTTGGCAAAATCGGTCCTTCAGGTGTCGCAATCTTAACTTGATGAAGTTTGAATTGTTCTTTTGCAAGTTCAGGTGTTATAAAGTCAAAGACGTCCTCAAGCATCTCCGGATCTTCAAGAGGAATTGGCGTACTACTTGATAGGTCGAAGTCTTCGATTCCCTTCGTTTGACATTTTTCGTGTATTTCTTCTCTAAATCTTTTCATACTTTTCTGACTGTCGGCTTCATCGAGGGTTTTTTCACAGATATCCATTTGGCCGTGACGAAATTCAAAAGTCACCTTTTGCTCTTCACATTGGGATGCCGTCGGACTAACTACATCCCCAGTAACAAGTCGTTCACTTGTAAGTTCTGATATCGGAACGGGGTTTTCCGCTTGAAAATAATCTTTTTTCTCCTTTATTTTGGATTCCTTTTTCACTATCTTTTTTGGACTTTCATTCATGTCATGGTCACTGTACGTATCTACAGGGAGCGGCGCGCGATCCCAGTCATCAGAAGAGGCCAGCGGACATTCATCCCGATACTCTGCGGATGTTAGGATTGCCATGTTAGATCCTTTACTGGCCCCATAGGCAGCACCCTGGTCGAGGGTCTCGTCGGTTTCGATAACTTTGGGAGCTTCGATGGAGATCACTTCATCAGCTACTGATGAAGGAACTACTGGATATTCACGTTGGGCTTTTGATGGTAAGAGTGACATCCAGTCGAAAACATCATCTGTCTCCTGAGGTTCGTCGGCGATTGGATAAGCCGACTGCTCCTCATCTACTGGTACGTATTGATCCTTTTTGTCGATCTTAAACCTAGCTTGTTTAATAGATCCTGTTGCATTACGAACAGTCTCGTTTTCTTTATCGAGTTCAGCTTCTTTCTGCCCTCTTTGAATAGCCTTATCTGTTATCTCAGATGTTTTGCTATCACCCGAAAGCTCAATAAATGGTCCGGGCATACTATGGTCGCTGATCGACTCCGGCATTGTTTCTTTTTGTGAGAGAATTTCAGCATATTCGGGCTGCTGTTGGACAGACTTAGTTTGTTTGTCAGAATTACGGATTTTCGCTTTATATACATCCGACGCTAAGTTTACTTCTTCAGATAAAACGCTGACTGTTTCCTCTTTGTCTCGATTATAACCCTTTTTAGAAACATTGCTAGACCAATTGCTTAACTGGTTTTCATCTGCTAGTTCTTTAGGACAAGGCGATATACTGTTTGTATTTTTAAGAACTCCCGATGACATTTCTGAACGTTCTTCAATACTTTGAATCAATGCAGCCCCTTTTGTTGCAGTAATTTCGGTTTTCTTTGCAAAAGGTTCTGATACCAAACGACTTGAGACTTCTTCGACCGCCGGGAATGCCCCAACTGCTTTTGAGGATACTAAATCAGCACCCGAAGCCACCTTCGTTTCATTTTTTTTTGGCTTCTGCTCGACTACTTCTTCTTTCGCCTGCTCGTCAGTCACATTCAATTTTTCACTGGATTTAGGTCTATCATTCTCTTCTTGGTAGACTTTTATTAAGGTTTGCGGCATTCCCCGACTAACTTCTTCCACCCCACTGGGCCATGCCAGTGTGGGCATTCTTGTTTGTTCGCTTGTATATATGCTGACCTCACACTGCTTTCCTAATTCACGCTCAGGTATCTCTATCGGGCTAGAGGAATTAACCCGATCCGTTTGATAGGACATGTCTACTGTAAACTGAGCTTCTTCAACATCTTCTCTTGCACTTAGGAACATTGAATCTTCGGATGTATCTCTTCCCATATGCTCATATGCTGACCTATACATTTCATACTCAGATTGACAAGTATCACTCAAAACAGCTTCGCTACCCGCATCGAAATCAAGCTCATTGTCTTTTCCGCTGATTCGCTTCTTCTTGTCGTCTGACTCTCGGCCCGAAGGTTCGGGTTCATGCCCGTGAGATGGAATCTGACCCCTAGTTGGCGAAGAATAACTACTACTCATAGGACTCATTGGAATACTAGTCTGCCCTGGAAATGCCACATCTTCTATATTAGACTGAAAGGACACAGTCTGAGACAACCCCAGATTGTCTTGGACAGTATGTGGGGACATTCTACTAACCTCAGTAATACTAATCGATTTTGAAGGCGCATCTGCGCGATCTGAACCAAACACGTCTCCACACTTCTCGCTATCCAAAGATACATAGGCAGGATGCTCTATTATCTCCGTAAATGACTCCTCAAAACCTTTACATTCGCTTTGCGACAACGGTTCATATGGAACCCCCTCAATCATTTCAAACTCCTGCTCCTGTAACTTATCATCCACTACCGACCAAGAATTATCTCGCACCTGCAGCTTGTGCTTACGCCTCCGTGAGCGCGATCGATGCCGCCTACCCTCAGCCAAATCCTCGCTACTGTCGCTTTTAATAGCGGTTTCGTCAGATGCCAATAGAAGTCCCCCAGACGCACCAAACATCTCGTCATCACCTTCGTCTTCCCCTTGGTTTTTATCTTTATCATTGTCTACATTAAACTTAGCTATTTCGAACGAGTAATGTGTGACACTGAATTGCTCTTCAAACTTTAGTTCAACAGTCTTTTGTGTGTCGAGATCCTCCACGACGCGGGAGGATACGATCTTGGGTCCGGTGATAGGGGTTCGCGACTCGGTCTCGACGATGACGGCATCGTCCGAGTCAGAGTGGTAGCTGATGTTCGTCACGTACTGACTCTGCGTAGGGACCACATTGAAGTCGGCAAGATCCTGCAAACGCGAGCTCTTATTCAAAACTGTTTTCCGTTTTGTCTCTTCGATTCTGCACCATAATTATTTTCATTATTATTTGAAATGTGAATTAGATTGAACGGGCTTACCACCCCTAACGAGACGAAATAACGAACGCGCGCTCCAGCTGCCAACAATAGCAGCGCATCAAAGAAGAGAGCAAAAGATTTTTTGTATTGCACTGAACTGCACGAATACTTCACAATATTAAAATAACTTATTATCCGCAGAAAGTAGTGCAAATGTTAATTGTGTTTACGCTGCCATCACCCGTTTAGTGAACATTTAGAAAGAATATATTAAATGAGTGGACAAATATAATGGATAGCAACCGCGACGAGAAAGGAGACGCAATAAAAAATTTGACCCTGTAATGACCTTTGCAAGGACGATCGAGCTTCTAAAAAAAAACATCGTACATAACGTATAAAAGACAAACACGAATGTGTAAATTTAGGGCTGTCAAGTCTTGTGAAGATTGCTAGCATGGGTGGGTAACAATGGTGATAAAGTGAGAAGAGTAATAAGCTCCATGACCAAACCCCTACAAAGCTGTCAATTGCCGATCGATATAATTAATTTTTGCGATTATAACAACCGTTTTTCTGAAACTACATTTTTGAAGGGAAATAACACATTTTCTTCACATATGTCACTAATTTTGAAGAAGTAGGCTAAATTCGAGAGAGTACGACAAGCAATTGTCTTGTAGGGTTAAAACAAATCAAACACAAATTTGTCACGTTTGTAATCGCCGCAGTTGCTCTTAATAAAAAAAAGAAGGCTGCACAACATCATGCACTAAATTTTGTAAAAAATCGTCCATGATTTAAAAGTGAGCAAAGTTCTTTAGTAGTCACTGCACACCCACACGTATAAAAAATTGAGTTGATTTACCATAGATAAGTATTATGTATATACCACACCAGCAGTCGTATTTTTGGACGCATACATTCGTTTTTATAAAGTTCGTTTATTATTTTATTCGATTTCAATATAATATTGTATTGCCATTATTATTGCTTTTATCTGTATTGTATTTTCTCTCGTAAAATTTTATGATTGTTTCCTGACAATCACAAAAATTTTATAAACAGGGCAAAAATCATACAATGTGTATAAGTTCTCTCAGCAATAGGTCGTAGGCAGTCGGAACGCAGTTTACATCGTACCCATACATAGTATTTAGTAATTTAAATAACAATGATAAGCGCAATAATAACACCACTGGCTAAAAGTAACAAAAACAGTATAATATGCAATAATTAAATAAATTGAGAAATAGAAAAGCTAGGGGACTAGACAAAGTGGCAAATTAGACTTTGCACGGTGGAGTGCACAGAGACCCCCAGCCGCTCTGCCGAGAGATGTATGCACCATGTACTACGTGCCCATAAGACGTAACTTCCAAGATGTTCTACCGTAAAATATATGGCAGGCTTTTTGTTTGTGGTATTTCACTGTATTACAACGACAGCTGGGAAAGCGTTCGGGGGAAATGCACGTTGACCTGCAAGGTGGGCCGTCAATTGTTTTTGTAACTTGAGGTTCGATGTTCCATGTCCTTGTATTGTCCTTAGAATGACTTAGCGGTCTTCCCTAAATACACTCGGTGCGCTTAGCAAATAGAAAAGCACTGACAGGTCCTCGGCACAAAACGTAGTCGTAACTTCTTTCTTGTGGTTGATGAGTATTGTCAAGTGTGATGACAAGCATTAAACTTGGACGCTGATCGCCTGCATCGGATATCACAGCCTTGGCAAGACGGGTTGTCCGATATCCTCGAAACATTTACCTTTTATGTTCATTGAAACACTGCGGAAAATTCTCGAGGTTACGGGAAACAGGACACCCCGGCTAGTCGGGACCACGACATCTTATCGCATCCTGAGACTCACTATCTCGATGTTCATCACTTCGCTAATTCGAACGCTCGACCCAACGTCCGACCAAACATTCAAAACGTTTCTCTTGCACTGGTAGCTAATACGATTATCGAATTGGTATTGTACGTTTTTGAACGTCTGTGACTGGAGGGAGCCAACGGGTATGAATTCGCGACTGGTTGATGTTTGCCATGTGTAGGTGTGGTAAGGGTACAGAAGCGCACTGGTTAACGTCCATCTGTAGGCAGGCATTTCTCGCCCTTAAGCGAACTCAGCTCAACTAGCGGCTGGTAAGGAGCACAGTTGACGATGAAACGGTACTATAATAATTATACTAACTGTAAAACGCTTCCCCGCAAAAAAAGCGAGGGATCGTCGTCGAATTGTGTAAAACAGGATTATAGGGTTTCACATTCTGAGTCGGAGGACGCTGGCTATGCTTTCACTGATTTCGTATGTTTCGTACGCGTGTTCGCTATATTTGCCGCACCGTTCAATTTACCAATCGTATACATATACATATATATATATATATATATATATATATATATATAGCGCCAAATGCTTTTTCGTTTTAACCAAATTCACTTATTTTTGTGGTCATCGTTGGAACGACGCATATAAATGCGATGCAAACAATTCCACCGTACCTAGTTGTATAACTGAAGTATATATATATGTATATATAAATAATATTAATATGTGGTCAATGGCTTTCGTGGAGACATCAGTTACGATCGGGAAGGAGACACCGTCATGCGAGTACGAGCTTGGAGCATTAAAGACTAAGTATCACGAAACAGGATACTTCGCCCAAGTTAATTGCAAACTTGTCTGAGAGGCTGAATGCTAGTAGTTGGTGTAGCGCTTTCTGCTTGGTGTTCACACGGTTTTTATTTAGAACTAGTTTCGTTACTTTTTACTGCTGATTACTCAGACAATGATAAATACATTTATCATTAAATTACGATTATAAGGATGAGCTTAAAATTGTTCCCTGATAACGAAATGTGACGTGGTCTAAAATTTGGTTTTCTCTTTGTTGACGGGTTGTTGCTAACAAAGCGTTGAACGGAGCTTTGGGATGCAGTGATCACTTTGCATGCGAGTGGTCGACAATGATTGATAGATACGCCATATCAGTATTTGGCAGGATCTCCAATGAAATAGGCCTATGAACTACTGTCTATTAGAGATTGTAGAAACTAAACCTTTTCAACAAGACACTTTCTCGACCGAGATAACTTGTTAATGGTAAATTCGATTGCTGAAAAAGATAAATGCAATTCTATGGTAAGCTAGTTAATGATGATAAATAGTGATGTGGATGCTGTCAGTAAACGTCCAAAGTTTATACAACGGCGCATCGAGTTCCTTGGATAGTCACTGGATATTGTAGAAATTATTAATTACTATGCAAGCGCAGGCAGACACTTGCAATTATCAACGATCCGTTTTACAATGAGACTAACCATAGGTGTAATTTTGTTAAAAAATCTATTAATGCCGACGAGCATGATCTGATGAGAGCGGAACCTCTGCGCTAAGAAAGACATGCACTGACCTTCGACCAATGGGTAAAGATGGCAGATCCGACCTAGTGGACTCCAATGCAATTGCCAATGAACAATGATTACTAGCTGAAAGTTCGTTGACCTTGTCAAATATCGCTGTTGCTTTAACTAATTAGCAGTAATACATTAAACATTATGTCGATATACGGATCTGTGACAGCTGTTTGGTAATATTCATAGCATTATTTCTCTGTCATAGAAATCGGTCCGTTTTTTGCTTGATTCAGTTGATCGTAACTTGTTTCTTTTTCATCGTTTACTCCACGCACGTATCTACTAATCATCACTGACACAGTCTCCCCGACAGCCAGAAGAATGGACGCAAGAAAATTGGCCAGGCCACTTCGTCTGTTTTCTGTTGCGAGACCTGTTTTCCTGTCCATTGAAGCCAGCCATTCAGTGAAGGCCGTCGGCGAAACACCCGCATGCGTTATATATGAACTCCCTATCGACTCACTGCAACCCTAATTCATTCTGAACATCTCTCCACAACGCAGCAGACCACCCAGAGGCATGCACCAAACAGAACGGACCAAGCGCATGACACCACATGACTGCTAACACATATAGACAAAACGGCTCAAACCTTGTCATCCGAAATGTCCCTAGGCGGACTATGAGATACTATTTCGGTGGCATACGCTGCGGCGGGGCGCGCCTGGGGCCGTCCTCCAGGGACCGGAGAGGGCCCACTGGGGGAGTCCGTTGGAGACGCAACGACTGGCTGAACGACACTAGCACTGATACTGGGAAGGGTAACGGCACTGGCCTGGGTGTTGATCACTGTCGTGGACACAGGCTCCTGTACTTGGCTGCTCGTTTGCAGCACTTGCATAACGGTGGTGCTCCCGCTTGACGTCGGTGGAAAAGCGCCCTCAGGCGAGGTACTCTTAGTTTTCTTCGATGCTGGGCCCGAAGGTTCGTCGGAGCGTTTTTTCGGCTTAACGCCGGCACCGGAACCATAGCTGCCAGCATTTTCTTCTCGAGTTGGGACATATACCACCTTAATCTCGGTAACGGGGGGACTGACGCTACTTGACTGCTGCTGTATACCAGCTTGTACTGGTATCGGTACTTGAATATCGGTTATGTCGTCCTCGACACGCATCACTAATTTTGGACTTTGGAACACTCCTTGCACAAGTGCTTCAGGCGTGAGTCCAGACGCAGCGGGTCCGGAAGGCGTCGCCTGGAACCAACTCAACGACGAGCTGGGTCGATCGGGACTGCCCTCCCGCGAAGGTCGCGCACTTGCCCTCGGCGTACGCACGTAGGGCCGATGTTCAGGCACTTCCATAAGCGCAAGTAGATGGGGCTTCGAAGCAACTACGTCCTTCGGTAGAGCCTGAATCTTCACCCGGAATGGCTCCACATCGGGTATATGCTTGTTCTGAAGCTTCTTCAAGTGCTCTTGGAGTTCGACGATTTGGGACTTGTAGGAGGCGATTTGTTCGCGGAATATCTATATCGAGAGAAAAGAATGTGTACGAGATAGAAAGGGGGTGGGGCGTGGGAAGAAAAGAAAGATGAAGTCAATCCCAAGTATTTCCCAAAGCTGCGCGAAGTGAACACACTACACAAACGTATGACCAACACGCAAGAATCAAAAGGATTGGCCCGATAGAGAGGCGGCCGAAAAACGGACAAATTCACGCTCATCATCCATAAAGCAAGCACACA